TAACAAATTATTTTAAATGGTGCTAATGTTTTTTTAATTATCGCAATACAAACAAAACCTCAACGAGTCGGGCGGGCACTTAACGCCACTAAATGCAATGCTCTCTGCTATAATTCATGAACATGCATTAACATATGTGCTAAACTGACACTAATACGTACGAGTATATCAGTATGAATAATTGAGCAATTGCAATTACAGTACCAACAGCAATAATAACAACAACAAAAGTTAAGGTGACGCTCAACATTTGTAGCTGTCAATTAAATTGTCAACACGGCACGGGAATCGTGGCGCTCGATCTCCACATAATTGAAGACCACCCATGCGCTATTGACAACTTGTTTTCAGCACTCGCCATTTCGGGCAGTCAAATTGATAGCAATGAAACAATAAAGATTGGTAAAGTTATGAAGATATTGGTAACGCGATGGCTAAATACCCTTCACTCTCATTAATCATAATTTCTCCCGCAAATGACAGCGCTTTTGATTTCGATAGCTAGCTGGGTAAACCATTTTGTTACAATTAGACTTGAAGAATTGTTAATTGCGTATTTCGTTGCAAACATTTAAAAATTAATTTATTGCCTACATGTTAGCAGCGTAGTAGGAGCGTGATATTCATATTCAAATGACCAACCCCCATGGTATTTCAATTGTGTTTCTATCAGTCTCGATATCAACATGTCCAAGTTTATTCCAAATCATATAAGTTGAGCCCATTGAAAGCGAAATTGGTAGTTGCAAGTTTTTTCTAATACCTCAACATAATTCGAAGCTGGCTATGGCTATACGAGTATGTTAGTTTTATTTGAACGTTGAAACCAAAATCTCAACTCAATCGTATTAAGTCAACAGTGAGGGACAAAGAGTGATTGAAACGGACAAACAGACAGACACCATTGATTGATTACACTTAATATTAAAACTGTGACATGAGGTCTACAAGTATAATATGGCGTTTTCCTTCTAATGCATGCATTTTAAATGAATACGCCCTTTCATTTAGTTTTCAAAGACGCTAAATAAACGTAAAAATGACAGCAGCAATAAGTACTTTTTATGACCATAAAAAATGCAACAACTATTTGCACGATTAGTTGACACGTTGTGGCAGGCTGTATGTAGTAGAGAGATAGCTCGGAGTTGTGAAGTTATTTCCGACAGTTCATTAAGTGCATGACGTTGTGAAAATAAATTGTGCAGCTGCATTGTTTATTTAGCTTTATTAACTAGCGAGAGCATTCATGGGGGAGTAATAAAATAAAATAAAAAATGTACATCATTATTTTCAGAAGTGCTCAACCTACATATGTTCTCTCTAAATAAAAAGGGGGCTTACTTTTTTGTTTATCTTTTTTGTCAACTAACTTATAATAGTGTGACAGTCATAAATTAATTGACTTAATAGGTACAAATTTTGCCTCATATAATAGAGTTGTGTACGAATTTCGGACATTTTGTTTTTGTACATAGCAATTTTGTAAAAAATTTCAACTAACATACAAATCAAACAACTATATTGCAGTAGTCCCAGTCCCAAGCCAGCCAAACAATCCTTAATGCAAAGTCCTCTATTATGTGCATGCATTTTATGCGTTTATGTAAAAATATAGGAGAATTTAGGTAGGCTATCTAAGCCGGAATATAAATCAAAAATAACAAATTTAAACATAAATATGTATAAGAAAAGGACTGATAGGCGCATCTTTTCAATTATCTCTAGAAAATAACACATGGCTGCTTTACAATTACATGAAGAAAAAAACGATTCTCTCACTATCTATTAGTCAAGAAGTTCCTTTAAACACCGTTTATTTACAAATAGATATTTTTTTTAAAAAGGTCCTACATGGCGTATGCGTAATAATCATACGCACTGTTGATTATCCACACTGTCATTTGCTTTCGTATTGCTGGGCATTGTTTTTATTTCGTCGATTTTTCATTGTTTTCTTTAACAAAAAATGCAACGGTGCATGACAAGCCAAAACCAAGATATCGGATGTTAATTAAAAGCAAGTTGTGGTTTAAAATTTTAAATACATTCATTCAAGCATGTGCAAAATAACAGACAACAAGAGAAATGCGACAAAGTGGAGGCTCGGCCTGGACAAATGAGCTGCAACACATATACCGCAAGCTGTTCAGACATGAGTGGAACAGATAAAAACAACAGAAACAAGTTCTTTAAGCCACAAGATAAACAGCCGCAAATTAACCTTTCGGTTTTTGTTGTTTCTCCCATGTGAAGCATGACTAAGGCAGCATAGCTATATAGTATAATAAAATATTCCATTATCAAATATTCCATTCAACTGCGTGAAATCGTTTGTCACAAGATTTGCATAATTTAACGTGGTTTGCCTTCTGGAATGGAATAGGGTATTCCCGCTTAGTAATTGTAACACTTTTCATTTAAATAATCTTCGTCACAAGCAAATAAAACAACAAATTATAGACAACAATAACAACAACAACAACAATTACAGCAACCAAACTGTTTTGTTTACGCGCACTCTTACTATACAATAAACAAAATGATTTAAATTGTTGCTACACAACCGTCGACTCATCTCCAATGGATGCGCGCGCCTGTGCGTGTATTTGTGTGTGTGGGGGTATGGATGGGTGCTTAAAGCTATGTACACGTGCCTAGTTCACCGCCTGGTCGCGCTTCCGACATGGCCGACTGTGCCGCATTGACTGGGCGCATTGACAGCCAAAAATCTGTGCAATTATTTTTGGGATAAACAAATGAAGCGCATTGGCTAGCTTGACAAACAGACCGTATGTACTTGGTTTAAATATGAGTATACAAGTAAGACGAAATAATTTAATAATCCCACATTCATTTATTTTGCATTTTTATATATTTTTCGCTTTTAATTTGCATCTGGTGATAATTGCCCGCGTCAAACAATAAACCTGTACATACTTGTATGTATATACGAACACAGGGGATAGGGGGAGAGTGAGAGAAAGAGAAAGAGAGAGACGCTGTCTGTCTATGGAGGGACGGTCAGGGGCGTAACTGAACTCTCAATGCAAATAAGCATCAACAATTGAAAATTGTTTGGCCACAGGCATTCGTTTGGATTGCTCAGTGAATGTCGCATATTAATTAAGGCATAACGGCATGCGCTTCGTTTGAATACAATTGTAGCAGCTGTTGCGGCACCACAGCTGGCAGCGCCTTTGGCCACGCCCTCGCCACCTTGTTGGTGATTACCTATATGAAAATATTGGCAAGGGGCAAGAACTGGACAACTCACTAACAATAGAATACTGCAGTAGTACAATGGCTATACAATAAAGCTTGGACTTGCTGCCTTCTCCAAATCACATACTATTAAGAAACACTGCTCTTCACATTCAATCGAATAGAATAAATACGATTCAGTAAAGTGAATCAAGCTAACTCTATTGTTATTCTCAAATTCGAAGCGCATGTGCTTCCTTGTGGTAATTATTGAATTTATTATTTAATATTTCTAGGAAGATCTTTGAGAGAGAATCATAACTGATGAAATTAACATACTTTTATAAATAGTTTTGTTGTTTTCAATGCCCTGAATTATTATTGAATTTATTATTTAATATTTCTAGGTAGATCTTTGAGAGGGAATCATAACTGACGAAAGGTACCTGCTCTTATAAATTGTTTTATTGTTTTTAATGCCCTGTATCCAAAGTTTAGTGATAGTTTAGTGGTAATTCTTGAATTTATTTTTAATATTACTAGGAAGATCTTTGAGAGAGAATCATAACTGACTAAAGGTACCTACTCTTATAAATTGTTTTATTGTTTTTAATGCCCTGTAATTTTTGGAATTTTTGTTTTGGTAATTACTTTCCGCTTTGCCACTATTCTGCACTGAACACTTTCACGAACCCTTTGTCACGTTTAAGCACGCATAGAGACACACCCGCCCGTCTCTAGCTTTCCTTTCTAATTATAATTGTGTACAAATAGTTCGTATTTTAATTTTGATAAAACTTACATGTCTTGTTTGAGTAATTGCTCCAATATTTATAGTTCTAAATCTAATCCACGAAATGAATAATCAGCTTTGTGGAAATAAACAATATTCCACTGCGATTACCTCAATTATTATATAGCGGGCTTCAGCTCGATTCAACCGATTGGCTGATTGTCTCGATTGTTTTTGTTTTTTCTTCACTGTAATTTAAAATAACAAAAACGAAAATCTGTTTATTATTATTGGCTTTGGTCCGCTTTAGAAACTACATATATTTTATTTTGACTAAGACAAAATGACTATACTTTTCTGCTGAGCTTAGTATATGTATACTCCACGACCGCACGTGATCAGTGTGGATATTATAAGTCTTTAATCTTTATATTATCTACCCTTTTCCACTGATTCGGGGATTAATTTGTAATGGCTTCATACCTCATAGTTCAAAGAAACTCTCGAGGAAAACACGAAGCGTCGAAAACGTCAATTGAAAGAGCAGGAAATGTCGCGCCAAACTTGACTGACCGGCAAACCAAAACTAGTCACGCATCACGACGCTCTCTGTTTTCTGAGCAGACTCTTTCTCTTTCCTTCTCTTCTAGGCTTTCCTTACACATGCGACTTGATCACTCGTATGGAACAAACCGAAATTTAAATACTACGATCACATAGGTTATAGTAGACATATGCATGTGTGTACGAGTATGTATGTCCGAAGCGCGAATGCTCGAATCGTATCGTATAGAACGATCGATTCGGCAATGCAGTCAGCGTCGCTGCCGCCGCTACCGCCGCCGTCGCCGTCGGCGTCGCCGCCTCGATGGCTGCACACTTGGATCCAATGCCTTCAGTTTTTGTTATCCGGCGCTGCTGGCAAATTCTCGTTCTCAGTCTCAGTTGGCACACGTCGACTGTGCAGGCAAAACGGCCGGACGCTGCCGTCGCTGCTTCAGTGAGATTAAAATTTCGTCTCGTTCGGGTTGGGCGTCGGGTTTGGGTTCAGGTTCAGGTTCAGCCCAAACATTACTTACGAGTATATATAAAGTTGAAACAGTGGCGATGTTTGGCATTAATAATCTTATTTGCATCGGCTACGTCGGGCTACGATTTAAGTGCAAGTCTCAACATTGAAAAATTTTAATCACATACAAATTAAATTAATATTAAAAGTTTATTCCCCGATTATATTTATATATCCAATGTGCGCTATTGGATTTTATCAATCAAAAGTCAAAGACCAACGAAAACAACAAATAAAATTCATTGGCACATAAACAAAACCTATTCATACGCAACAAAAAGCGTGCATCGCACATTTTACGCTTTGCAAACGATATAAATTTTCCTTGGCGAAATTTTTTATATTTGCTGACGACGTCGGTGTGGTGTTTGCCTTTACAAACACCAGAAAACAAGTAGCATTGTTTATTAATTCGCAAAACAAAAGAAAGAACAAAGTTAAAAAACTAGATACCTGGGTAACTGGCAGAGCAACCGCATCGCGTGACGCAAAAGAAATCCAGAAACTAAATATAAAATGGAGGTTCAAAAGATGCCTGAGCGGCCACTGCTGCAGTCTCAACGTAAATTGGCAAACAACGATGCAATAATCCTTGACTCCAGATGTGCGGTAAGTGTGGCACGGAGAAACATGTTGTATTATGTAGATAACCCTGCTGACCGCCGACTGCCGATTTTGTAAACAAACGTGCTGTGTGTTTGCCTTAGGGGCTTTGAGTGCTAGAGACGCGCACTTGAAGTCCGCCGATCTATAAATATAATTGTCTGTGCACCAACAATAGAATATTAAGAGTGTAAACACAACGATGGTGGGCTGTTTCAAATTTATTTTAAATACACATGAGACTACAATCCCGCATTGATTGATCCACAAATAGCAAGCATATTAGCAATTTTACTGCTTCATTATGATGATGAGTGATTGATATTTGCAAGGATTTCTTTATTTATTTTTTACAAAATAAACCGTAATTATGCAGCGAAATTTATATTTTATATACATATGTACATACAAATTGAAGAACTAATATATTTGAAATAATTGAGATCCGTTAAGGATTGCAGAGATGCAAAAAAAAGGCAAAAGGAAATTTAACTTGTGGCTATAGGTTTGCAAATGTGAAGAAGCACATTTCATTATAAAATCTACATATATTAATGCTGAATTTTAAAATTCAACTAATTATATTCATTAAATTTAAACTGCTTTGTTTTCTCCGCAGAAGAGTTGTGTTGTTTTAAAATGTTGTTTGACATTCACTTAGATTTTACATGAGGTCTTGAAGCCCACACCCTTCACATTTTGTGCTTGGGTTCAATTAACCTATTTGTATTTAAATATTCTTAAAACATTTAAGCGTAGGTTCAATTAATACGCTTATATTTAAACAATTGTTCTTCTATTTTTTTATTTAACGATTTTAATAAAGTACTTGTATATCCTGTTGAGCCGAGCTCAAATAGTTTGCTATTTCAATAAGTTCGTAAGCTTTCAAAAATATTACTATTTCCTATAGATGCAGCGCATTATTAGGAATATGTGTTTTAAGGGACTCTAAAATTGTTCATGCATATCTTTTCCAATTAAACGTATGAAGATGTCATAATTTCCTGCCCAGTCATAACAAATCGCCTTTTTTAATCCGCCAGAAACGATTCTGGCCATCACTTTTCTGACGTACAACTGGAAAATTTTCATTGTCATTCTTAGGGCCGTCAGCCCTGTACTTGAATGGTATAAATTTATTATGAAATCATTCAGATTTTGTAAGAACCGAAAGGCTGCTGATCATACTAATAAACATAAACATATAAATATATTTTTGACCAGCATCACAAGACGAGTCGCTCAAAATATATATCATAATATACATATTTGTATATTTCTGTAAAAGACGTACACACATAACATTTTTGCGAATAAGGCGTAGTCCAGCAACTAATCTTCTATTCACAGCGATTTTCAATCAGAAATGCATTTGGGTCTAGTAAGAAGAATTATAATAGAATAGATACAACACATTGGTCGAATTTTTGAATATATGAAGATCTGAATCATGGACTAGCTGCAAACTTGATATATGTATAAATATAAATTAGCGACCGATCAATTAGAAATTATATACTGGAATATATTCATTTACGGCTATAATTCAGACAATATTAACACACATTACGAAAACTCATATATTTCTTACTAACTCGGCCATAGGCCCATGGGGCCTTGATAAATTAGCAACAACTTAGTTAATCGCTACATAGACTAGCCAAAGCAACTAATTATGTTGAGTATTCAAGAAAAATGCTCGTAAATTAAGGCCTGTCAAAAAATGAAAACAAATTTAGAAGCTGCTGGCGCGGGCAAAAAGAAAAGCGCACATGTACCCCAAATGGAAATTCTTTCATCTAAGAGTAATAAATTTTCATACAATGTTTTCTAGACGCGACTTTTCCTATACATGTGTCCATACACTCGCATGAGTAAATAGGCCAGAAAAATTGCACACATTTAAATTCCAACGACATATTATGGATGTGTAATACGTTCCCAATTTAATGACTTGTTTTGTCTACTTCAATTTATACTTGCAGCTGAACGATCTATATCCCATAGCGCGTCTGACGCAGAAAATGGAGAGTGTGCTCGGTGCGGCAGGAAAGATGAAGGGGCATGATGATGATTGCCCCTACACCATTGAATTAGTGCGACCGGAGGATGGCGATCAGGTCGTAGCAATGCTCAAGAAGTTCTTTTTTAAGGTAATTGCAGGCAAAAAGTCAAGTGTAATAAAATGTAAATTACATTGGAGCCCCTTTCAATTTTGCACTAATTTCATTCACAATCAAAATTATTCTCACTGCTGCTCACACTAAAATATTTCCAGCTGCCACTTCGGCGAAAACAAAGCCCAATTTAAATAATGATTCTAATGAAATTCAATTAGAGAATTAACTGCGAGCTACATTTAATTAAATTAATTTTACAAGTTTTCGAACACATAAAAATGTGCATAGATTAAAATGCTTGCGAGATCTGTTGATTACCTAACAGATTGTGGTAAATTTTTAGCGCTTGAATTCTTTAGTCCTTGTCACCAGATGGATTGATTCATGCACTGGGAAGCCCCACAGCTCTAGGCCTGACAACTGTTGCACCTTCAGTGCCATTAACCCGATGAAAACGAGTTCGAGTCACTTTAGTAACTTGAGTCATGTGGCAGTTTGTATATTAACTGGTTCCCGTTCTACTGCGTCACACACCTTCAGTACTGGCGACTATAGAGACTGTCCATAACAATACCCACTGACTTAATATGTACCTAAACTTACAAATTTATGCTTTAATTTGAGCTACACTAATCCTCTTACCTGAGACTTTTGTGGCATTATCACAATTGTGTAAATTAAAGCTAAAATTTCCAAGATTTTGTAACTGTATGTAAATTTAAAATATTTTATTTATGCATACTAATCGTAGTCATTTTAGTTTTTGTGTGAAATATTCTAAAACTGTCTATGATTTAACCAGGTGTCAGGCATCAACAATTTCTTATCAGTCTGTTGTACTAAATATAATCAGCAATGTAATTAATGACCTCCTCCCGACTCACAGCTCACATAAAGCGTTTTATGCAAATCTTCCGAGATGCTGACGCGTTTTCATATGAAAAATGGTGTCCATAAATTAAATATCTCCATTTATTCCAATCTATAGTACTTATTGTTGTGCATGCAAATAGGCAGTAAATCATTTTAATGCAATTCTGCTATCATCAGGCATAATTAAAGCAATTTCTACAGCAGCTTATTGTTGTTGGCAATGAGGGCCATTAGTTATAGCTACATATATGTAGATGCATATTACAAACTTTACAAATTTATCGTAACTCCCGCATTTGTTATCTTCAATTCCTATAATATATTCATCAAGTTAAAAAAAGAATAAGCAATGAAAACTTAATCATGATGATGCAAATTACAAACTGCTTTTACATTTGTGCCTATTGAAGAACTTAATTTGTTGGCGTACTTATTTTTTGCATTTATTTTTCCACAGGATGAGCCGCTCAATACATTTCTTGATCTCGGAGAATGCAAGGAACTGGAGAAATACTCGCTCAAATCCATAACGGACAATTGCTCATACAAGGCAGTGAATAAGAACGGGGAAATCATTGGCGTCTACTTAAATGGCTTGATGCGACGTCCGGTAAGTTGTATGCGTAAACAACAATTGTTGGCACATATTAGCCAAAAATCAATTTAGATTGTGAATCTACATACATCCGTATTCGATACAGCCTATCATTTGCAGTTTGCAACTTCAAGGAGAAAGAATCATAGGCGCCATATAAAGGGTAAACCAACATCAACTTTTAGTTCAGGCACACTTATTAAATTTTCAAATTGACTAGAATTCCCCGTAGTGCAGGAATGTGTATTTCTATGTTTGTGCTAATTAGTTGCTTATCATTGACAAAATCAATATTGTCATGTGTACGGGTATAACAAAAAAAATGTTGGAAATAAGTACACTCGTACAAACTCATTTAGCGTGAATCAAACCCACATTAGTTCTGTGTAGTAATATTATGGATTCATGAACACATGTACTTATATTTAGGATTATTTTGAAACAAGTATTAACGCACTCACCCTCACTAAATATAAAACGTAAAACGTGGATTCTTAAAAACCATTAGTTTTATAAGAGTTTTTCCAAACAAGTATTCTCGCACTTACCCAATTATTGGCACAGTTCGCACTTGGATATCATTTAATCGAAAATTCTTTATATTTTATGTTCCTTTGCAGACATCGAGCGAATCCAACAGCGAGAAGGCGGCCGATTCGTGCGAGCATCCCAAGTTTAAAAAGATACTCGCCCTAATGGACCATGTGGAGGAACAGTTTAGCATATTCGACTTGTACCCGAACGAGGAAGTCATACTTGATGGCAAGATTGTTTCGGTGGACAGCAATTATCGCGGCATGGGCATAGCGGGTCGACTAACAGAGCGAGCCTATGAATATATGCGCGAAAATAACATTTCCGTCTATCACGTGCTATGTTCCAGTCACTATTCAGCGCGGGTCATGGAAAAACTGGGCTTCCACGAGGTCTATAACATGAACTATGCTGACTACAAGCCTGAAGGCGAAGTAATATTTAAACCAGCGTTACCGCATGTGGGAGTGAGAATTTTAGTCAAGGAGCTGGGAGAGAAGTCGACGCAAAAGTCCACATTGTAAATAGAATTCGAGTTGGGCAGATGAGACCTACTTATCGGTGTATTCGTTGGTTGTACAGACAGTAAATATTTAATGCTTTACTTTTGAATTAAGCATGTGATTCTTTAGTTTGTAGTTCGGTGGCGGGTCCCCCTTGTTAAAAGTAGTCAAGTATTGCACAACCTAAAAGTTATTGCTATACTTCTACAAACACTCAAGCATATTTATTAGATTTGTAGTAAGTGAATTGTGCTCTGTTTAATTGTTTCTACTACCTTAAAGTAAAGCCTAGCAACTCAAATGAAAAAAAAAATACAATTTAAATATTTATTTTTTAATAATTTGCTCAATTCTATTTTTAAGTGTTCAATGGCAAATATGTGCTCAAATAAAACCAGCTGTTTGAAAATGACTTTGCTTTATTAATTTTCAACGTATGTATCTGTATGAATGTTTAGCCTCTGCGCGCTCTGCCATTTCTACTATTGACAACAATAGCTCTATTTCTTCCGGATTGTCGTGATGCAGCACGTCTGGCATTGGTGTTTACAATAACACGGCGTCCGCTTCTACCGCTCCTACTGCTCCTACTGCTGGTGGTTCCAGTGGTGCCTGTGCCAGAAGTGGTGCTGCCTCCGGTGCGACGGATCCTCCTCACAACACTGAACTGCAGGTTTGAAATGCGAATCTTTTTAGCTCCTCCGCCAGTTGGGGTAGTTACTGTCGGGGATGTTAGTGAAGTTCCAGTAGTGGTATCGTTTTGAGCAGCTGTTCGATCCACGCCACAGTAGGCCATAAAGCAGACAAAGAATAGGGCAACACATAAATTCATGTTTGATGTTGTAGTCGTCTTGCCGAAACTAACTTGGATATGTTTTCAAACAGCTAATCAGCGCGCTTAAATACCCAACGCGAACCTCGAAACAAAACGCAGTTTGTTTGAACAGTTTGTGCAAAAATTTTGGCAACATAATTAAAACTCTGCAGTTTAATAACGTACCAATGGCAAATACAGCTTGAGCATTCCGATTCATGGGTTTGTTTGAATTAGAAAATAATGATTCAAGGACAATACACGAAAAAAATGCTACAGATAGTTTATACCAAAAATATCTACATCTTTAATATTTACTTTTGGTTTCGTCAGCACAAATGAAACTACGCAAAAATGAGAAAAAATATATATAACTACTTGGAAATTGCTTGATTGTAGGGATCCTTGGATAAGCGTTCCACCATACGACGCACCTGCTCTTCATTGCCATATTTTTGAGCGTCAGCCACAACAGCGGCATGGTGGGAGATTGCTTCAGCCGACATTTCGTCCTGAATTTGACGATTTAGCTCGAATGAGTGCCTGTAAGTGCAAAAGTAAATGAGATTTCTGTCAACCTTAAAGTCAATCTTAAAGGCACTTACCTGACCGAACCAAATCCAAAAATGGCGCCAAAAATACCAACAGCCAATAAAAATAAAGCCACTTTCAAATTTGAGACGCGATTCAAGCCTTTTATACCATAATAAGGACCAGGGTTTGTAGTATAATTGGGTCTCACTTCCCATGGCGCGCTATCCTGTTCGACACGGTCATTTGTCGCAACCCAACTCAAATTACGGTCATATTCTTTGCGCGTTTGCGGCTTCACTAAAATGTGGTAGGCTTCCGAGATTTTAACGAAATTTGCTGAATTAGCGACATTACTTTTCATGTCTGGATGGTACTATATAAAATCAAAAGTTAAGACATTTAAAAATGCACTATCAATAAAGTGTCACCCACCTGTTTAGAGAGCTTGACAAAGGCGTTACGTATGTCCCGGGTGCTGCAGTCGCTACGGACGTTGAGCACATCATAATGAGTTTCCACTTTGTTTGATTTTGGTTGATTAGCAAAACTACGCAATAAAAGAATTATTAAATTTTATATAATAGGACCACACACCAGTTACCTACTTACGCCTGCAAGCCACTTCCTTGGGCAGCACGAGACAGGATAGACGAAGCATTGGGCTTAAGTTTCTACAATAACTTAGTGAATTTATTCCATTATGCCGAAAAAAATTTGCGTGAAAACCAAACTCCAGAAATTTTAGCAAAACAATTACAGCTGTTACAAACGTCAAACAATAATCGATTATAAAAGCTATCGATATTACTAAATCATCTGCATAAGTATCTAGTTCCGCGAATGTAAGAATTGAGCCACCACTTTAAATCAGCGGTGGGCACCAAAATTTTGAATCAAGATGAAAAATAAAGAAAATGAAATGGAGAAAATCACTGAAGCTACAAACAATTTTGGGATAGTTTGACATAAATTAAATGTTATAATGCATTACATTTTTAAAAAGGAAAGCGGTGAAGGCCACAATATACATTAGAACATACTTTAGTTTTCAAATGGCATTAAACCAATAACGCCAAAATATATTTACTAAAGGAAAACGGTTATTTTAATAATAAAATTGCAATCTGCCTTCCGGTTAGAGATGGGTTTGGATCGGCGCAAATTTGTCGTTACATAGCCCAACACGAATAATAAGTCAAATGCAGAAACTTTTGAAATTTAATATTTGTAGTTAATACATAATCGAACTGTTTGTAATTTATTAACTAACAAACTGCATGTACAATTGACATTCTGTATAACCATAGGCAAAAACCATTACATATTTTTATGGAAATACATGTGTTGTGTTCAAATTCGAACTAAGCAGCAGTGACAAAAAGTTGAACACCACGTTTACTACTTGGAGAGCTCGCAAGAATGTTAAGTATTTGAAACCAGCGCGTTGTGAGGAGAAACGCCAAAAATAATCGAAATATCGATATATTGCGACTAATTACTTAGGATTCGACATTTTTTAGTATATTCTGTTGCGCATGTATCGAGAATCAAAGATGTTTTTAACACGATGAATCGATGTTTGTTTGCTTGCGATGCATCGTCGATCCATCGATGTTTGTCAAACATTTCTCGAGTTTTGTTAGGTGGTAACATTTTCTTGTGTGGTTTACTGGAGAAGGTATATTTGTATTTTAATTGTTTTTGATGTTATCAGTGTGATATTAAGTTTTAATTTTTTAGCTGCGTGCGCTCTTGCCAGCCACTATCAAAAAATGTATAAAAATTATAAGTTTTTATACAGGATGTTACTCGAAGGTTGTTAATGTAAAAGCGAAAACTATCAAACTTAGTGATACATATTTGAACAAAACTATTAAGCAAAAGCGTTTAATTGTTTATTGGATGTTCAGAGCCGGCCCACTATTTGAATCTCTCATCGGGTGTGACCCATCCCTTGCCCGCGTGATATTTCGGTTCCTTCACAAAGTGACATCGCTATTACTGCAAGGCCGCAACAAACAGAACGAAACAACGTATTATTTTTGGAAACAATACATTATAACGGCTAAAAGTTAGTCTGGCAAATTGTAGCGAACTATTCGGTCGTGGCGACCCTCTTCGGGAAAGCTGTGGTTATTGCTTTGTCAGGTCAGTGACCGATTTTGCCATTAACACGCGGCATTATTAAAAACGCAACATTTATTTTATATACCATATTTATACATATCCTTATACCCTTTTTTGCAGACTCACACGTCACTAACCCAATGCGAAGCATAAATGTATTTGATTACGACCAGCTGACGTATCCAAAGATGGGCTACATTAAATTCAGGCTTAGTACATAAGACAGGTTTTATACAGCCACAGCAAATTTTGGATGCGAGTGCGGCACAGGCGAGGTCGGTTTCCCCACGAATCTGACGGTCTACCTCACCTGCCTTGGCTGTAGTAGAACATGTAGTGGTACGGATGGACTTTAAGTGCGTATAATACATTGCCGAGTTACGCACTCTAATTTAAATTTATCTTGTTTCTTATGTATGCTCCCGAAAATTTAGAGCAGATTCCTGTCGTCCATGTGGAGCTAAATCGGTTGCACGCTCTGGTTGTACTTATATAAAAACAATCTGATAATGATTGGCAAAAGGCTACTGCATCGAATCCATGCCGTCAAGTATTTTTTGCATTACCTATTTTATGTACAAGTAATCCAAAAAAATATATTGTTTTGTCAACTAGAAAGCTTTAAAGTCCCTTGTGTACATGATATAGGATAAAGGACGCTGACAGTTTTATAATATACATAGACGAATCAAACTTGCTATAATCAAAAGTTTTTAAAAATCCATCCTACATTAAATAGCTGCCAATAACTGGTTTATTACGATAAAAATACAAAAACCTCTTAGCGAGGTAAGAAACCCAATCGTAAACAAAACCATTTGGTATGTTATATTACTTCAAATTTAGTAATCAGATTTGTAGAATATATACATATGTACATATACTGAAGAATTTCAATCATTACCTCATTATAAAAATAGATAGAAATTTTACATTGTTACGCCACAGTAAGCAAAAATGTATCTACAAGTATTTTACGTTTACTTTTGTTTTCAAATAAGTTGTACAAACGAAATCGAATAAATACAGAACTTTTTTTCTTAATTACATCAACATATGTAGAATTGTTTATCTATATCTATACTAATATTTTAAAGAGGAGAGATTTGATTGAATTGAATTGAATTGTCCGAATCTACTGGACCGATTTAATGGATTCTTTCACTGTTAGGAAGCTACACTATCGACGGTTAACATGGGCTACATTATATTTGCAAAAAAAAAAAATGGAATCCTTACTAAAACGCCAATAATGTAACCAAAGGTGTAAAAAAATTACCCCCCGGTCAACTAGCTCATATAACGAAGATACCGATGATCCCATTTGATTATTTATATGGCTTCAATTTCCGGTAGTCCCAAGACCAAGCGTTCGCATTAATAGGGATCGACATACGAAAGCAATGTTTTACGGTATGTTGACCTATCACGGGTCGGAGTTTCTGAAAATCAATTTATTTTGCTACCACAAAATAAAACATCAAATATTTTTTACAAAGAACCTCTGACCTAATAAAAAACAAGTAAAAAAGCTAAAGTCGGGTGTCCCGACTTTGAAATACTCTGTACATATGTTTACAATAATTATAGAAAAAAAAAAATTATGAAAATAAAAAAAAATTTTGATCGATATTACCTCTCTCGGTATTCGAACTCACGTAAAGGGTTTATAATTGCACATTTACATAGCAATTGCGTCTGTGTGAGTGTATGTATGCCTATGCGCATCTATTCGTGTCTGTGTAAGCATTTTCGCAGTCAACCAAACAGCAACATCAACAACAGCCGCGGGCAGCGCTTGAGCAGCGCTGCAGCAGCAAATATATTTATGGCTATAACTTCTCGTTAAATCGGTCTATCATAGTGAAACTTGGTATACGGACATATAATAACCAACTGGGGGTATTTACAAAATTTTAGTTCGAAATTCCAAGAATTACGGGAGTTACGATTTGCGGGGTAGAGGGGGGAGGGAGGGAAATTCCAAAATATATATTTTCTGCGTATTCACATAAGGCATCTGGGACTAAAATTTGGTGTTCCTAGGTCTTATAGTCTCCGAGATATAGGCGATTATACGAATGGAAAATCGGGAAAACCCCCATAGGGGGGAAGTGGGGGGAAAATCAAAAAAATAAAACAAACTCGTATAGAATACACACATAACGCATCTTTGTGCAAAATTTGGTGTCTCTATCTCTTATAGTCTCTGAGATCCAGGTGTTCATACGGACGGACAGACGGACAGACTGACAGACGGACAGACAGACAGACAGGGCTAGATCGACTCGTCTCGTCATGCTGATCAAGAATATATATACTTTGTGGGGTCTGCCACGCCTCCTTCTGCCTGTTACATTTTTCAGCTCCCGCAAACCTAATATACTCTTGTACATTTCATGTACAGAGTATAATAACAAAAAATCTAAAAATACACAAAAAATCATTAAAATAATAATATCGAAAATAAATTTTACTCCTTCTCAGTAACTCATAGCAAGAAGAAGGGTGTATGTGTGTTAAGTGTGTGTGTGTTATAAAATGTAAAATTTTTAAAATTTTTGTAAAAATACCCGTGCGATGCAGGGGGCAGGACGCTAGTATTTATTAAACGGTGAGTCAAAATTGGATATTGTAGAGTCCTATTGAATTCTGGAAGTGTGTTTCAATGCCATCCGATTTACGTTTCCATCGATCGATGCAAAAGCTGAATATTATAGTAATATTTGACTTATGTGCTGACACCACGACATGATAATAGACTTGCGGCGTCAACTAGTATTATCAACTTCGATTGCAGCAATTTCGTAGGCACAGAAGTATTTATATTAATAATAAAAATACCTGGAGCAGATTTTAAATTAGCGTTTCCTTGCAGAAACTTTTGACTTAACAAAATATATTATTTTCATTTCAATTGTAAGAATTATACTAAGTATTATTATTTATCTACATTTAAGCAAAAATAAAGCAAAACAAATATGTATGTGCATTGAAATCAGCGCGCATATCAGATGGAAAAAGAGAAGACATATGTCGAGATGCTTCCTTCTATCTGTTACATACTTTTCACAAATCAACCCTTTTTCACTGCGTGTACAGGGTACACAATAAATTACAATAAATTTTAAATTAGGAACGTAAATTAAGATTTTAAAAAGTGCAATATTGAGTTTAATAAGTTATTTAACCGTTCGTTATTCGTCTCATTATTAGAATATATTTACATATACATATGTATGTATCCACCTGTATGAAGGTTTTTTTTTGGATACAATGTATTTAAGAGTTGTCCCCGCTCGAGTGTAGCATTCCTTTTATTTTATTAAATATATTAATGTTACAAACATGTGGGTTTAAAAAAAATTCAAATTTTGTTCACAACCATATTCGAGTAGTAGCCAGTTAATATGTTTCTGGTCGCTCTAATAAATGGTATTTCAATATGCTATTTGCGTTCTGTACGCACACTTTCGTGTCTCATTGTAAGGACATGCTGTCCTCTGACCTTACAGCTGAACATGTGCGCGGCGCCCTATTATTACAGCAGTGCACATGTATTTGTTTACTTGGCCGCTTCGTGTGGCGTTTGTTGTGGGGGCGCTGAGCACAATCGAGAACTTATTAAAGCTAAGGCTAAAGCCCAGCCAGCTGATGCCTTCAAACTTTCATTCACAGCGACAGCCCAAAGACCGATATGACAATGAGCATGTGCTCGGCCGCTACATCGTGCGATGCGCTCGCTAAATGCGCTCGGCTTTCCATTTTGTCTTTTGTTTCCGTTGTTGTTGCTTTTGCTTTTTATGGTATTGATGCCGAGGTTGATGTTGAGCGAAAGGACTTTGAGGAAAGCTTGCCAAACAAATGCGCACTCTCACTCTCAATTTTGCACCTCAAATGTCAGATACATTCATATAATTTTACACTGGTGGCCACAATAAAATGGAACTGTATTAAAGCAATAATGTGTTCCTTTTTATTTTGATTCAAACATAAAAACATACATAAAAAACCTCATGAAACTCATCAAACCATATTACTATAAATTTCTATAGTGATTAGAGTTAATAAAAGAAATAATAAATTTGTATAAAATAATATATATTTATAATAAATAAGGTAAAAATCGTACCTTTCTTACTTGAATAGTGTTTATGACAAGATAGTATAAGCGAATGGGATTAGCAACGTCGCTTTTTCAGAAATCGTAAGAAATTTAATTACTTTTCCTAAATACATTCTGGACAGCACTGTACAGGAGCTCAGGACATCTGCACTTGCACTGTGCGAGTCGCGCTTTCATTAACTACGCTCTCAAATTCATATTTGTTCGGTAGTGACTTTGCATTTGCGTTTGCGTTAGCCTGCTGCCAGTGCTTGTCCTTATCGATTTTCAGCGAATTTTTCACAGGCTCACAGCGCACTGCGATGCGAAGCGAAGTTTCACTTGTCGCGCTGAGTTCGTTCATGTCGCACTGCACCGATTAACGTTACATAAAGGAATTTCAATAGCAAGTTTAAGTGCGCTGCTCTGAGAAATTTTATAAGAAAAAAATTATTAATATTAAATTACACAAAATTAAGCAGCATTGTGATAATTGTAAAAACAAATTAAAGAAGGCGACCCGCGACATTTAAAACGTAAAGCCCCTGGCAATATCAACATATTCGTTTATGTAAAAAAGAAAAACCTAATGCCGTAACACAGTCATTGAAGGAGAGAAAGGAAAGAAAACGTTCAGGTAGCAAGAGACGAATGAAAAAGTAGTAGAGGTCAAAAGAAGCATTGATTTAACGTGTAGTACTTCCTTTTACCTTTCGGGCCATGAGGGAGTGTGTGTGCGAGAGGCCTCCTGCTTACCCACATGCATGTGGATGTGATGTGTGTGTGTGTCTTAGCTCGAGGTGTTGCATAAAGAAATTTGTGTAATTTCTGTAAATTTTGTGAATACTTGCGCTTTGTTCAATAATGTATAAGCATCCACCTACAATGCAATACACACACGCACACATACACTAACACACACACACACACATATGTTCATACAGAGGCTTGCATGTGTTGTTGGCCTATAAATTGTGTATGTATATGTGTGTGGAAATGTTGATGACGAACTATGTACTTACGTATCCACGATGACGGCAACGCCAACATATCCCACAGACAACCAACCACAGACAACAAGCAGCAGAAAAAATCGCATGTAACACAGTTCAATATCCAATAAGAAACCCAGTATAATTACATAATCAAATAGAACTACATGCTGGCAAAACCCGCACACACACTCTTGCAAAATAAAATAACAGAAAAAGGAATAACAACGCATTGCAAAGAAAAAATAAAATAAAACGTGCAGCATTATTTAATCAACGCCCTGGAAACGCCTAATCATCTTTTAAAGAAATCCAAAGTAAAACCAATACCAATGTACCTGCAACAATGAAATTGAGCAAATTGCAAAAACAAAAAAATTAAAGAAAGTCACAAGAAAAAACAAAAACCAAAAACAAATAACTAAACATCTTAAAACAAAAGACGTTACATAAACTAGCAACAACAAATTACTTTTAAAAATATACAACACATTCGCTATATACAAGAGAAAAAAGTGCTAATGTATTATATAGAGGTACATACATAATTATATAAACTATACAAGTAGTTGCCGTTATGCGAACTGTTCACTGCAGGAAATAAAAAAAATTACATATAAAGTATTAAATACGAACAAATCAAATCGATTGTAGAGCTAGACTACAGGAAACCTCGTAGTTTGTAGAAACACGTCTTCTTCATATAGAAAACTGAAAATCAAATGGTAGCCGCTATAAATCATAATCGATTAAATATTAAACGCACTTAACGAACTTAAACGTAACGACTAAAAAGCTACTAAGTAGTTGCCTCCCTATATACAATATATAGATATATATATATATTATGATATATTATACAAATACTTAGATATATGAATTTATTTTTATAAATACGAGTAAAATGTAAAAAAAAAACCTAGAGGGCCTATCGAACTACTCTTAATATATGCATATATTCTACAAAATAACGCTATAAATGGCCAACAAATAAATGCATTAAGTCCAGGAACAAATTAACAAAACAATTTAAAGACACCACAAAAAAAACGTGCGCTCGACAACAACGAGGACGTCGACGTCACTTTCAACGAAATCGAAAGCTCACTCGTTCCCACGCCAGCTTCTTTTAGTGTGCGCGTGTTTTCTTGGTCAGGCTGGTTCTGCATTGCTCGCGTGTTCCTCTAGATACATATACATACACTCATATATATATATACTTAAGTAGTACATATATAAATAGTTAAATATATAAACTTATCTACCTACGTTGGGTTTCTTGCGTTGCGCGCCTTAATCTAGACCCGTCAAACCAAACAAAACCAAGCCAAAGCACACGCGCCACGCCCCGCCCCGCCCTGCCCCGCCTACGATCACAAAGCCATATACATAAGTACTACCACCATAACGCCTTACTCAAGTCACTGTCACTTCCAAAGCCGCCGCAAAACCCCAAAACAGAAACCGCAAAACGTTGCCGTTCCTGGGGTGTTAAAGGCCCTACATACACATATAAATGTATATATGTGTGTGTATGTGTGTGTGTGTGTGTGTATAGCAGCGTTTCGCGTTCATTAAACTTTAACGACCAAAACCAAACCTTATACAGCGAAATTGACAAAACGGTAGAGCAAGCTGTGGACAAGCCGTGCGTCAAAAACTATAGCATACTTTTGTGCGGCCTCTTTTAAAGTGCATATTAAGAGTTCATTGCAATTGTTGTGATACGTAACGAATATACGCGATCTAAATAAGGAGACAAAAGAATACAGATTTAAGGCAAACTTTCTACTCCAGCCTGCCCACCCTTCAGCTCGCCCGCCCCGCCCTGCCCCGCCTGTCATCGTCGCCAACACCTCCACCAACGAACACCACCACCAACAACAAATTGCATAATAAACTCAGCAACAATTAATATAAATAATTAACCAAACGGCTACTCACAAAATACATAAAAAAGAAGTCATTAAAATCCAAAGTACAAAACCCGAAACTAAATGTATTTGTTCTTAGCATAAACGAAATGAGCATAATCCGCCAGAAATAAAAACGAATAAATTATTTAATATAGCAGCATACGGTATTATTATATTTACATAAAAAGTGTAGAGGACACTCGCGGTTTATTCATGCCCACACACATGTTAACATAATCGTTACTCCCAGAGCGCCCCATAAAACTGTACCTTTAACACGGAAAATCATCGAAACACAAATAGAAACATAAGCAATACGACTAGTGAGAGCTGTTAACTACAATACTTTAGACACTACATTTTAGACAGTCAACAAGCAACCGTTACTTAATACCTATAACCCACCAAAAATCCAAAAAAAACAAAAAAAATAAAGTCGCTCCCAGCTTCAAGAAAAAAATTCAAGGAAACACATAACAACAACAATAAGAAGTGCATTTGAGTTGCTTTGTTTGAGTGAGATAGCTAGTGCCGACGCTAAGCAACAACAACGAAAAGCAATTATTTTGTTTACGTGTCTTCGCCATTAAATGTATATATGTACGTTTATGTATATGTATGTCGTGTGTATGTATTAGTTAATGCCAAAACTCGAAACGAAATACGATGACCAGATTTCGAATTGTGTCAGACGAAGCGGAGCGTGTTTTTTGTCTGTAACAACAACAACAACAACAACAACAACTACTACTTCAACAAAACTAACATCATAATAAAAATCCAACAAAAGCAACAACAACAAGAACAAAGAGCAAAAAAGGGGAGGAAGGAGGAAAGAGCTGCCATTGGAGGAGCGTGTCGTTGCATTGCGGGTGTTTGGCGGCGCGTATTTGCGTTTATGTATGTGCATGTGTATGTGTACGTATGCGACGGTAACAGGCGGCGAAAGTAAAATTTCACCGTTTGTTTGTGATGGTAAAAAATGCACGTTAAACATACACAGCGCCGAGTCAGCGGTCCTGGAGCCTTTGGAACATTTACCAACGCCAACGATCAACGGTATGCAATTATTTTGAATTGTTCTCTCTTAACATATTGTTGTTGATTTCCATTTGTATGTGTATGTGTACACGTAATTGTGCGAGCGAGTGTGCGTAATGGGTGTTTCAAATATGGTTCACATATTATTTTACTAAAATAAACTCACTATCAATATTTTCAACTCAATTAGGATAGATCTATAGAAGTATTTCTTCAAGTATTATCTGACATCTATATACATAAATTCAAATTAACGAACTTGTTGGAATAAAAACGCGATCAAATAACCATGGCAACACATGCAAAAAATATATACTTCAGACAGTATTTCTGTAAAAATATTCAAATAAAGAACCAAAATACATTATTACGCTACGAAAAATCAAAATCAGAATAATGATCATAATTGGGAATTCCATTTAAGTAAACATAATATAATTGATATGATCTGGATTTTTCTATTTCAAATATAAAAAAACTTAACGGTTTGCCATCATCTTGGCTTATTTGTTTAAAAAGCAAACATACTGGATTATCCGTTGATCAAGAAAAACTACAATGCTTGAATATGTAAGCGATATAATAACGTTAACGATATAATAACGTTAAAATTATAATAATTTGTGGAAACAAATTCTATGATATTAAATTTTGAAACACCCTATCACATGCTCCCACACACGCATGTGTGCGCTTAAATATTTACATTTATGGATGTATTTCCGTTTCGTTTTCAGCATTCCTGTTCGTCTTCTTATTTTTTTGTTGTTCTTGTGTTGTTTTATATACATATATACATACATGTACTATATTGGTTTGTCAGTGTGTTCGTTTGTTAGTTCGTTTGTTCGTTTTTTTGGTTTTCAGTTTTCCCGTTGCTTTTGTTGTTGCTGTTGTTGTTTGTTGTTGTTGCTAATATTGTTGCTGCTGCTACTGTATGTGTGTATGGGTATGCTAGTGTGTGCGTGTGATTGTATTTGTGTTTATTGCACAATCTAATCCAGCCAAATGAAGCCGAAATATAAAAATCGTGTGTACATACAAACCAGCCCAGCATCCAAAATGCACAGTATTGTCAATATTCGGGCATGTATTCAGGAATGTATGTAGAATGTACGTATGTATACAAAGCTTAACATCGCAGCACAGCCTCCACAGCTAGCAGATGTAATCTGCATAGATTAACCTCTGTGTATGTGTGTTTCCGTCCACAATGCCCATCCAGAACGCTCGTGTCCAACGCGAATAATACGATTATTTCCTTTGGCTACATACCGAGCACATACAACTGATTTCCTTTCCAATGCACGAGGGCAGGGACCGGCATCATCCATCAGTCAGCCTGTCAATGCAATTACAAAACTAGATTAAAAGCCAAACGCCCGTTCAACAATGGCTGCAACGACAATGGAACGACGACAGCCTCAATAGCCACATGCGAAGCCAACACACAATGAACTACTCTGTTCGAAAATAGTGTCAAAGTACTTTCAGTACAAGAGCGCTCGAATGTCGAGTTCCTTCTCAATACAATGCAAAAAGTGTAGCATACACACAGGCGTCCCTGTGCAGGCTGACAAGTGTCTGTATGTGTGTTTGTGCTTGTGTGTTTGTCGCTGCTATATGGCCAACAACATCGATGCAGCGGAAGCTTTCGCTTTTACTTCAATGATTAAACCACTGACCGAATTTTGGCTTACATACATATACATATGTACATACATACCATACGTACCATACTTGCATATGTGTATGTGTGTATGTATGTATGTGTTGGCAGCACCAGCACTATGCGAGTATGTGGGTGTGGTTGTGGATATGTTTGAGTGCATCGATAAGCGCTTGCTGTCATTATTGTTGTTGCTTTCGCATATATGTAGCTATATAAAGTATATATGCATATACATATATATAGTACATATGTATGTGTAAGTGTGTGTGATGTATTTACACAAATAGACAAAGAGAGATGAAGCCATTTTGCTGGCTATTGTGTAGGAAGCTTGATGTTTCCAATTGAACTAGTTACAGATATGCGCATTCAGTCGACAGCTGCACTTACACAGACACACACACGCACACACACACAAACACACACGTACGAGCTATATATTGTACGTGTTGGCCATTTTGTGTGCAGTTTGCACAGTCCACTGATTTAGTAAAACAAAATATTGATTCTTGATTTGTTGATTTTTGATTTAGTAACCCAACGTTTTTCGTCATCCAAAATTTCTGCATAGTTATTCATTTTCGAGACAAATAATTTCAGATATAATTTAATTTCTGGTATTTTTTGTTTTTACAGAAAACTTGCTTAAACAAGTGCAAAAACTTGAAAGTTGAATACTTTCAGAACAAAGAAGAGAACAAAAATTTTGCGTCATATCCAAAAACAAACAAAAAAGAAATCAAAAACCAAAACAAATACAATCAAAGCCAAAGAGAGTCGAACGAAACGAAACGCTTGCGTTTCATCAGTGAAGGTACCGACAGAATTAATTTGTCACTTTTCACTTTAGCGTAGCTCTACTACCTTCTCTCTAAAGCTGTTAACTATGTACTACTTACTTGCGTACTTGCTACTGCCTCAAATAGACTCTTACGCCCACACTACCTTTTAATGCTACTATTTACTTTGATGTTCCTCTACGTTCTTTTCAAAAGTAAACAAAACTTTTAAGCTTCACATTTCTACTTGTTATAAATAATTACTAATTAGTTATATGATACACTTGCTTCCCCCACCTCCTATCTCTCTCTATTTCTCTCTGTCTTTGTACCTCTGCTCCATTGTACGTATACTGCTAACGAATACTTGTACGAATTGTATGCCAGTGCCCCTCTCCGCTTGCCAATGCCAACGAAATTAGCAATATTTTTATACGAAATAAATTTACTTTAAACAATATTTCCAAATGCATCACATAAATTATAAAAACAAACAACAAATAAATTGCTCGTCATTAGAAAAATATATCTACCTATTATAATTAGTACATTAGTACATAACCCCTCGGCAGAAGCTTATTATTTTATGCCTTATTGTTATGATTTGGCAATTAACGTTCCTAATGAGTGCTTGCTGAGAATATTCTAAGCTATTGAGACAGTTAAATAAATGAACTTAATTACTCATCATTATTCACAGTGACTAAACGTGAATTTCTAATTGAAATCTGATAGAATCATTATTGTTAAAACCCTGCACATTTATTAATAAAATGATTATTAATTAATTTAATCACCTTAAATCTGCCCTGTTTATACAATATAAACATATTAATATTTCGCCTACGAAATTACTGATTCAAATAGCGCCAAAAACAAACTATTTTATTGGCTTAATCATCAAAGCAAATAGTTTTCCTCATTTATAAACCAAATTATTTGCTTACAATACACTTTTGAGTGGCATGTTTAGTAATTGCTTTTTTCATTTATTTTCAAAAACACACACACCACACTTTCAAAATTCAAGCTATTTCAATTCACGCACCAATGAATGCATTTCGACAATGCCTTTTTCAGGCATTGTATCTTAGCATGCACATTTTGGTTTTGTTATTAAAATAACTCAATTTCAGCACACAATTCATTCGATATTGTAAACATTCAACAATATAAAGTTCAAGAACATATTTACAAATATAGGGCTTTAATGCATTTTGCTTCTTTAGTTTTCAAATAGAGATCAATGTACAGAATGCGCGCATATAGTATGTGCCTCTCTCCAATATTTTTATTTAAGTAAAATTTATGATCCGCACAAACAATACTGCTTAGTTGCATTGCTCGTACACCTAAACGAGTATACATGTATATATTAAGTATATATGCATACATATGTATATTATTCCGTTTAGCGGCGGCGCGAATCGTATCTTAAAATTGATCTAATTTCGATGAACACAATGGAATGCTGTCGGAATGCAATTGCGCTTATTCGATACGATTTCTTACGCTTAATGCATTCAATTGGCTTTTGAATTATTAATTGAAGTACATATATACTGTATTTAAAACGACTGCACTGTGCCAAAGTACATAAATTAAAAATAAATTAAAATAAATTAAAAATAAAACATATTTTATAAAGCAAAAGCTGATTGCAATCAAAAATAAGACTTTGAAGTCTTCGAAATTTTGGGGATTCCTAGGGGATAAAAGCATATTAGTTCATCAAGCTAACACAGTCTTTAAGATTAATTTAAAAACACGCCATTTCAATATTTTAATTATTTACTGGTAGAAAACAAGCAGTACCGAATGATTATATAAATACGAATGATATTTGTAAGCAATTTGGACTTCTTCGATAATTTCTTTAAAAAGTAAACATATTGGCTTATCATATTCAAATTTTCTTTAAAATATACAAGTATTTCAAAAGAACTAAAATGTGTCAACTATTTGTTCACAAAGGCGAAATTTGGAGTATTGTTATTAATATGAGAAGAATAATAATTATTATTTGTTGAGTCTTCCTATCTTATTAGTGTCAACATGTTAGGGAGCTATCGGAATTTGTATTTCAACTTGGTATTTGACCATAATGGGTGAGAATATATCACAACAAATTTGAACACGTGGAACCATAATATCCCATTATTGACTCAAAATTACTTAACTAATGCATCCCAAATAAGAAAGAAACCTTTATTAGCACTTCAGAAAATTAATAAAACTATTAGCAGTATTTACAAATATTTTTGTTATGAATCAAGATTCGGAGTGTAGACCTTCCATAATTCAAAAAACAGAAGCCCCTTTTTATATGCGATTAATTTTCATGAATTAAGTTTTAAGTAGCAAAAAAGTTGAACAATTTCAGGTTTTTCCAGAACTAAAAGGTTGTCCTAGTCACGAATATTGGAACTTTTCGATATACATATTATAAAGTTACGCACTCAAGCTTATTAAGTATTAACAAGAATTAAACTTGAGACTAAAATGTAATCACGAGTTTAAAATGTAATCATGAGGGAGATGTTATCATTGTTACACGTTAGATTGCTGAAACAATAATTTTGTCCAAATTTTCTCAGTGTACATGTTAATAAATACATACATACTTCTATGTATGCACATACAACTATGTACTCGTATATGACGTAAGAGCGCTACTCTGAGCCCGCCTGACAGCTTCATTTACGAAAATAAGCAAGTAAAATAAATATAAAATACACTTGTGCTATCCAAATGATTGTCAGGAGGATGCCAATGGCAGCACCATCACCAGCAACAGCAACAGCAACAGCACCAATTCCAGTTCCAGTGCCAGCACGTGCTCGATATGTGGCAGCAGCAGCACTTGACGGGTGCCTGGACTGCGGCAAAGTTGACACTCGGCTCGGGTTTGGGTTTAGACCAGCAATACAATTACCAGTAGTATGTTATGCTTTGTGGGCTTGTTTGTTTGCTTAGCCGGGCTTATGTAGCTGAGGCCCTCAGGGCTGCCCATTCGCAAACGAATTTCTTTCGGATTGCAGCAGCACTTGACAGGTAAGAGGCAACGGCAGCTGCCAAGAGGGGGGGCCGAAGAGGCGGTTGGAGACTCCCAAGACAACACGAAAATGTATAAAATTGAAAATAAATCTGAGCATTGAGTTTGCGATGCTTTCGCTCTGATTTAATTCGTTAAAGTTTGGCCAACATGCCAACATTGTATTTAGAGACCTGAGATGTCTTATCTTTAAAGCCAATTGTGATCTAATTTGGAGTTAGTTAATTCTTTTTATTACCCAGATGCTTTCCCTTTTCGGGCGACATTCGGACATCGGGCTTTAGCAAAATTCATAAGCATTTCTCCCTAATGCACGTACTGGAGTATACTCGTATGTACATAGTACTTATTGTCGAACAATCAACATATCTGTATTTACAGGCCTTACATAATTGCGTTTTGTGACCATTACGTGGAGCACTTAATTGAAAGAAATTGATTTTAGATGGCATTCGTTCGATTTTGTGGTTTTGAACAGTCGTGCAATTACAACAGCACAACAGCACAACAACAACAATAATAACAATAACTGAAATAACAACATCAACAGCAAGAGCAAAATTCTGCACAAATTTTGGCCCAGAAAAGAAAATATTTACATTGGCGCATGAAATGTTTATACAAATGTGCCGTTTAGTTTGCGTGCCAAACAAGTTGAGATAGCGACTGAACCTGAACCATGCCATCTGCTCTGCAATGGGTTGAAAGTTTTCATGCATACACAAATGCATAAATAATACATGTACACATACGAGTATACATGTGTATATAGATATGTATATAGACACGCGCAAATGCTGATATGACATAAGTACTTACTTGTATATATGGGTATACATACTTGTATGTGAATGAATGTCTTTCTTTTGTTCGCATTTGTAGAATGATTAATACAAATAAAACATGCATATGTATGTGTGCGCATCTGCATATGTGTATGTGTATTTATTTTACCCCGCAATTCCCTAGTTCAACAATAGACACCTCGCATTCCATCTCGCTCGTCTCGGCGCACAGTGGAAGTATCTAAATTTGGTTGTACCCCAAAAACGCCCTTGACAATGGGGCCTGAGGATAAATACACACAATCTTTTTGGGGCACATGCAATCTACTTGTATTTGAATAAGAGATAAAGATAAGATTCCTGAAAGTCATGCTATGCACAGGGTAAGCAAGAACTGGTGTATCTTTTTATTGGTACCATCTCTAGTATTTTATCTATAGATGGTCGGTGGGGTATACCAAGATGTCTGCCACATAGACAAGAGTGTAGATTTGTCCTGTTGCATACGTGAACTGGATGGAATTCTTCGTAAAGTCAGTCCTGGGTTTAGTCAGAACACGACAAAATATTTAGGTTATTTTCTAATTCCTAGATAATCGCCTATTATACGATCAAGCCATTCAATTTTTATTATGTTGTAGATTTATGGCAGCTATCAAAAGTAGCGCTTAATTTGTTTAATAAAATGCAATTAGTTCTAAACATTTCATTGCCAAATAAAATAATTATATTGCTATTTTTTCAGAATTCCAGAGAATTTGTTTATAGATCGAAATTAGTTTGACAAAAACCTGCTAAATAAAATATTAACTTCTTTAAATGAACAGAGAAATGTGTAGAGTTTTTTCATTTTGAAAAATAAAATTGAAGCCACACTTGTTTGTTCTGCCGTTTTTGCCTTTTCATTAAATAAGTTCATTGTAAATATTTACCATTCATAGTCGTATACTCGGATTGATGATAAAAGTTAGATCGCACTTTATCTATCTGATTGGCCATACTATCCACTCTCTACTGCTACTGTTTGCGTTAGCCATCTACAATGCTCCTTCTTATCTTATCAGTCATTAGCTGCCTATTAGTTATTAATTTGATTTGAAGAGTGCTCGTGCGCTTCCGCCCACTGTGCCGATGTCTATGTCGATGCCATGGCCTAGTTGGGTTCAATTCAATGGAGCGCTGGAGCACCGGTTTGTTATGTGTACATATATATCTTTAATATCTATATACATATATGTATATTCATATTTCTGTACTTCAGTACATTCGAACTACCTTACACTTATTGTCAATACTGCTCTCACAGAAATAAATAGATATACATATGTACTTGTATGTATAAATATGTGTATAAGTATGTAGGTGCGTTTGTGTTTCTATACACTAATTTAGTTCAATTTTTCGCGCGATCAAAAGCAGATGAGTATGTCGCCAGTCTGGCCTATTATTGTACCGTATTGTTGTTGTTAGTGTTGTTATTGTTTGGTATTGTACGTACGTACATATGTATGTTTGTATGTATGTATGTATGTATCCGAAAGATGAACTCACACACGCGAATGCCTTTCATGCCATTCTCGTAATATTGCACAATCAATATTTATAATTAACTAGTTCTTTTGTTTATGTTCGCGTATGTACATACATACATTTATATACAAATAGTAAATATTTATTTGCATTGTTTGCTTCGTGTTTTTATATGTATGTATGTATTCAGCGATTCCTGTTCACCTTAGCGTAGCGCTAGAGCCTTTAGCTGACCACCAACTAACAAACCAACCAACCAACCAACCAACCAGCACAATTTTGTCAATTCTGAATAAATAAATAAACTCTGAGCAGCAATACTGGAATTGATCATTTATTAATAATCCATTGAATGTTATTGTTGTCTGTGCCTCTTGTAGCGCTAGCCGAGACAGCTTGTATCCGAACGACCAGCAGCAGCAGCAGCAGCGTCACTCCCACTCTCACCAACAGCTGGTGCGGCAATCCCTGACCAGCCTTACTACACAGGGTAACGGCAGCGGCAACGGGGGATCGGCGGCGGCGGGTGCGACTACAAGACGAGCGGCGCAAGCGGTAGCCGGTGATGAGCAGCGGACGCAGCGAGAACGGGAGCACAGTAGCAGCAGTCGCCTATCCAGCGGCATCTCCAAGCAGAACTCCTACGATAGCAGCAGCAGCACACTAGGTCGCGGCAGCAAGCGCAGTCACCAACAACAGCAACACCACCACCAACAACAACAACAGCAACAACAGCAGTCGGCAGTCACACCCACAGTCACCCCAAATCCGCCCAATCTCTCGCACAGCCACAGCCCCGTCAGCTGCGGCACCATCAGCACTGGCGGCCAGTCGGCGCTCTATGATGCTTGCCATGAATATAGTCGCAGCTTGAGTGCAGCACCCACAATCGGGGCAGGAGCTGGGGCCGTTGGAATTGGGGACGAGCTTATTGGGCACAATTTCAGCAACTCGGATCCAATCACACGTTATAGCCACTTGGACGACAGCCACGCGGATGCATCGGTCCTCAAGAGCCACTATAGCGAGTGCAACATCTATGCGAAGCAGCGACAGCTTGCGGAGCCGCACTTTACGAACCTAAATTTGAGCAGCGAATACGACAGTGGCAACGACAAACAGCAGCTGGTCAATCAGACCTACATCTTTAAGTGCATTGCCAATAGTCCCTCGTTTCTGCGCACCAACAAGATCAAGGAGCAGTCGAAGAAGCTGCGCAATCTATCGCTGAAGACGCGCAACGCCAAGAAGAAGGGTCAGATAATATCGAAGTCGAACGCGGTGTCCGATAATTCGCTGCATCCGGGTGATAAGTATCTCAACTTGTATCTGGTGGAGAAGAAACATTCGCTCCAGTCTCATCCAACGCCCACATCTGCATCAGCGCCGGCCACCTCGGCAACATCGGCCACTTCGGCAGCATCTATCTCAGCGGCATCGTCGGCGGCGGGTGGTGCGTCTGGAGTGGGAGCGGGAGCGGGAGCGGTTGCGCGCACCTTACCGGCTCTGTCGGCGGTTGCGGCGCGACAACAACAATTGCTGTTAAACGGCGCGTTAAAAACGAAAACGTTTCCCACATATCGGGCATCGGTGAAGAGCGACACGAAGGACTATCGGAGCAGCAGCAGCACCAGCACCATTCCGGGCACTGGCCAAAGTCCACCGGTGGTGCCGCACTCGCTGGCGGCTAAGATCAGCAGCAAGAACTGCAATTTGTTGCACAACGCCGGCAACAAGCTCAGCGTGAGCACGAATTCGTGCAACAAACTTCATGCAGCGTCTGCGGCACATGTGCACGGACACGGCGGACGCGCACACAGCTACGGCTACGCCTACCATCCACATCATCAACAGCAGCAGCAGCAGCAGCAGCCACACCAGCAGCAGCAACATCAGCAGCAACAACAACAACAACACAATCCACAGCACCCCCAGCATTTGGCATCGCCCAAGAGCTCCGTCTCGAGCAACGGCCATCTGAACAAGTACTGCCTCACGGACATCAGTCGGCGCAAGGCCGAGTTCAATCGCCAGCTCAGCGCTCCCACGGACTACACGCACCACTCGTCCAGCAACGGATCGCAGCAGGGCTCGGAGGCGGCCAATGAGCCGGTTGGCGAGTCGACGATAACTGTAGCCAGTGCTGGGGTCTTGGGATTTGGACACGGCGTTGGTGGCAGCGGGAGTGCGCACACCGGCTCTAGCTCCGGGCCAGCCACTGCTCCCGGAACACTCAAATCCTCACTGCACTTCCACAACTTTGGCGTACATCCGCGACCCACTTCCACGTCGTGCACCAACAGCTTTAACCGACGCCACATACGCAAGCATAAGACCAAGCTTAGCGAGCGGTAAGTGTATAAATGGGGGAGTTTTCAATATTTTGCAAATACTATACATACTTGTATTTCAAAAGTCTTACCCATATTGGTAAAATTTTTGTGATTAAAAAGTTTTGAACCCAATTCAAATTAACTATATTATTCCGTTTTAAAACTATTTCAAAGATTGCAATTTCAAAATTGTTTTTAGTTCGATCAAATTATTCGGAGTCCAAGCGACAAATATTCTCGTTTCCAAAACATGATCGAGTTAATAAATAATAAATAAAATTAATAAATATTCAATTTAGTGACTAATTCAGCTATATAGTATGTATTCGTAAACACATGTCCGTCGGTTGAGATCATTTCTTGAAACCATCTAGATTAGACCAGAATATCCTTTATCTGAATTTAAATCGGACTACTTTATAACAAGTACAAGTATATAGTTGCCAAAGTACATCAAGGTTTATAAAATTTTCGGGGCTGATCAAGCTTTGAACAAAAATGATATATAAAGCTACATAAATCGAAAAAGTACATTGGGAAGGCAGGTGATACGGATATTTCTGAAACTGAAAAATATAATTATGTTTTTACAATTTAAACATTTATTAGTATACTTGTATAAGTCTATCAACATTCTTTATTTTATAGAAGCCTATAGCTTATGGGTCAGGTACATTTTTTAGAGGGAGAGAAAGATTATTTATTAATAATTTCCCTTAACTTAGTAGGGATCTTATTAAGCTACCCATGTATTTAGTGCTTTAATTGGAATGGGGAACTTTTTTTTTGCTTTCGCAAAAATACCGCAGAGTCTTGGTAAACATTCATGATCATTTAGCAAAGTCATTGGAACTTTGTTAGTTTCTACTGCAAAAAAAAAACAACAAAAAAACAACAGCAACTAAATAGCAGTAGAATAATAAAAATAAAATAAAATAAAATTACAAATTCAATGCGCAGTCTCAGACAAAGTCTCCGTCCACCCCGACTGCTCTTACCGGTTTTCGAAGGTATCGCACTCAATGCGCGGCTGACTTATCAAAATTGGCCGAGACAGGCCGGCGGGCATCATTTGCATAATTCCGTCTGCCTGCGTAATGAGTTTCTAACGCGCTCCGCTTCCGAGCACTGAACTTCAAATTGAAATACCAGAGCAGGCATTCGTTAATCTTAGCTCGCAGGATACGGACGTACTTGTATAGCGTGCGGTACTCGAACGCCACATCGACGTGAGTGTGAAATGTGATCTTGACACTGACACTCGACACTCAGTTATCAAGTGATCATCTGATCAAGCGATCAAGCGATCCACCGATCAAGTGAAGTGCAAGTGCAATTGTCGCCATTGGCGTGCTTTTTTAATTGCGCATCCCCTAGGGGGAACTTATTTGTTGCTTTCGTTGCAATACTCGTATTTACTCGTGTTCCGCGCGCTTCAATTACAATTATGTACTAGTTGCCCCATTATCATAATTGAATTGCGTTCGAAAACGTTTTAGTCAATGTCTGTACCCGCACCCGTACCCGTACCCATTCCCGGGCTCTTGCTCTCCTACTCTAGACACTAGTTATCGAGTTTCCGAGCTCTCGTGCTCGTTCTATTACATTATTTCTTTAATTTATGACAACAGATCGGCAGTCATAACGCTTACCCGTTTGCCAACGACTTCATTTGCATAAAATCTAAACGTAGTTTTTAAAGCGCTCTGTTTGCTTGTTACTGGATAGTTTCTTTTAGCTTTATGCTTTTTTGTTTATTGGCTTCAATTTTACGCTTGCTATAATTTGTTTGCTACTCGTCACAGAAAAATCAATTAAAAAGCAACAAAAATTCCTTATTTATTGTGCAACGGACGAGGCAACGTCAGCAACGCAATCGAGGTTCAGAACAGGTTATCAACGCGACTGTCGCAGCATCAGCTGAATAATGCAGCAAAAAAATAAATAAAAATAAAGAATACAACAAATCTTGGAGAGCATAAGAAAATCGTCTACAAGCAGTCTTGGTGTCATTTTTTAATTATTTAATTACAAACGCGAGCACACACACACAACTACTGGAGAACGAACGAACGACTCGACTCGACTCTCAATTTCGATGTGGTTTTCGGTTTTCAGTTTTCAGTTTTAATTTCTCGTTTTCGTTTTCGGAAGCTGTGAGTTTGTCGAGCACATACTTGTACAGTACAACAAATACCGAGTAATTCATGCACTGGCCTGGCGATCGGAGCGCAACAATAGGCACTGTGCTCCAATTGAAATTCGAGGTAACAACAAACAAATCGTCTACAGACATACATACATACATACATACATACATACTTGCACACACACACGTTCAAAAATCTATATGTTTGTGTAAATTGTGTGGCGAGTTTCTCTCTCTCGAGGACGCACGAAACCGAAACACAACCGAATCCCAATCCGAGTCCGCGTCCGCGTGCAACCGCGAGTCTGTTTGGCGGCAACGGCAACACACGCGTCTGTTGTTTCCACTGCCGCGTAGTCGCATTAAGTTGGCGCTTGTAATAACTTGAAATATAAAATATCACTCTCGGTATGAGTGGGACCCAAGTGATACGTGAAATTAGTGCAAAAAGTAGAATAAATAAATAAAAACAGTTGTTGTTTGTCATTACTCGAGTTCGAGAAATGCCGCAACACGTTTCAAGTTGCACATTTTTTGTAATAAATATATCAAACGAAAGCTGTGATTTTGATTGATTGTGACGTTTATTTCGCTTCCAATTCCGATTCTGACTGAGCACGCTGTAAAATTAAAACCGCAATATTAATCGGGTGCTTTACATCCATACCACAAAAAACAAAAACAAAACTAAAAAAGCCCGCAACGTAACCTGATAATACGCCCGCACTTGCCATATAAAGAGATATTACTCGTATACAGATATATGTGCATATATGTTTGTGAATATAGGTGCATGGTTGGGGAGCACACTCTGCCACTCGCTAATTGTCAACTGACGCTAAAACTAAAACGAAAACTGAAGCTTCACATCGGGCTGCAGTACCACCTCCCATTCAGTTTTTCAAACAGTTCGGTTTTGTTGCAATATTATTTTCGTTTGTGTGTCTTTTGCTGTTAAACAAACTAATAAATTCATTAGGCTAATTCGAGCGAAGGAGATTGAATTAAATCAGCCTCATGAAGCTTAATTAAAACGAAACTTTCCTATTTAAAATTACATTCAATTGAGTGTGAACAGTGCTGGCGGACGACATCGGCACGCGTTGCCAACGCCGCCGGCCAAACAATAGCGCCACCGCTAGCTGCGTGCCGTGCCGTCCCGCGAACCACACCACACCACACCACACCACTTCCATTCGCCCCTGTTCTCGCCGTGCTCCAAACAAAAACTACTCGAACATCGCTCAAAGGCCGCGCCGCTAAATAAAACATTTCCGCGACACAAAACCTTGACAATCGCCAAACACAAGGTAAGGCGAACATCGCATCCACCTGGTCCCCCATCCCCCATCCCCCCTCCACCACACCGCCACTCCAGTGAAACACTTTCACTCGCGCACGCAGCAGGCCTTGCGGCCTAACAGTACATACAAGTATACAGTAACATACAAGTATACCCAAGCCCATACTCGTATGTATGTATGTGTGCGTGTGCTCGCTAAATACATACATACATACGACTACATATGCGTGTAAGATAATAGGCAGAGAAGCCTGTAAAATTTGTCGGACAGGTCAGTTCACAGCTAGTTGTTGAATTCGGCGTGCTTAATTAACCTTATAGGAATACGAGTACTGCCTGGTCAAACGGAGAGTAGAGTACGGCATTTTGAATATTATGTATATAGCCGAACTGCAAAAAACGTTTTTCTCAAAAAGCGGGGCAATACAATTTACTTTCTAAAAGCAAGGGTAGTACTACTTGTATTTTTACGAAATACGATTTTTTATTTTGAAATAGCTCTCATTTCTCAACAAACATAATTATTTTTTCGTTAAACAACAAATGATTGTTTATAATTAAAAAGTTCATTTTTTTAAAACACAAGATCTATTTATGTAAACTGCAAAAAACGTTTTTCTCAAAAAGCGGGGCAATACAATGTACTTTGTAAAAGCAAGGGTAGTACTATTTTTGCGAAGTACGATTTTTGTATTCCCATAATGGCTCTCATTTCTCAATAGATATGAATATTTTTTCCTTTAAACAATGAAAGATTTTATATAAATAAAGAGTTCATTTTTTGAAAACGGAATAAGATATTTTTATTCTTAAAATGACTCTCATTCCTCAAACAACAAATGATTGTTTATAAATAAAAAGTTCACTTTTTGAAAACAATCAATTCCACTTATATATACAAGTATAATAACAATAGCCTATACGAGTGCATACAGAAATCATTCTAACCATTTAAAGGAAACTATTTTTAAAATTAAGATCTAGTTATGTGTTGGCATTGTCGATTTAAAACATGTATTATTATTCAATTATTATTTCAAAAAACTTTTTCACGTGTTTTTAAATGAAGTTATAAATTTTCCTGGTAGGCATTTATATTTCCACTTTCATGTCGAATCTATGAGACAGGACTAATACAGGCATAACTTACACACACACGCATGAGTCAGTTCTATAACTACAAAAAAAATTGAATTTCTTTACCTAAAAATATGAACATATTCTAACAGGTGTTTGAATTATATAAGTCGCATATTTAAAAGAAATTTTTGAAATGACCAAACCTCCATTTTTTCCCTTTAAAACATTAGCTCGATCTTTTGGAAAGCGAATAAAATAGTTTTTTTAAAATTTTAAACATATTTAAAACATGTCGTTTTGTGTGTCGAGCCCAAACAAAATCTGTATTCTTAATTTTAAAGCTCATATGGCTATTAAAGTGTGTAGGTTTTCAACCTTGTATTTAATTCGAAAAAAGTGTTTAATACTATTGGTACTCAAGAAAATGGTCGATGGCTTTTATAAAAGACTTTCTATAAGCATTAGTTATACAATATGGTTAAATGTTGGGCTCATGCTTAGGGTAGATACTTACTGAAGCTATCGTTCATCAAATTGGACAGCTGTAAGATGTAGGTCTACGATTCAAGTGGTTTTGACAAGCTTGTTTCTATCTCAAGTTCAAATTTTCGGTAATATATGTAGCTTTTAGAACTGGCGCATTAGTTTGCTTGCCAAAATATGCCCCGGCTAAAGATTATTTCATAACCTCTTATTAATTCTTTTATTTTATAATTATTATTTAAACTTCGAATGAAAATAATAAAAAATTCGAATATTATTACGATAAATATCTCAGGATATGTTTTGATTTATAGAAACAGAGTCTGCTTTTAGATTTCTTATCTAATACCTGGGCAACTTTTGTTTTAACTATTTACATTGAACAGCAAATGTTCAGCTGTTTTGGGGAGTGCGGCATTGTGCATTGCTTATTTTTATTTAATTGAATTGCATTTTCAGCTTACTAAGAGGCGATAGTGAGGAATCAGTGCGTTGCTCATACTGCTCCGTTTTGAATGTGAATGAGAACGACCTGCGCATTTCTTTCGAGAATACCTGCACCGACTCGCTGGTAACCGCTTTCGATGATGAGGCTCTGCTAATATGCGACCAAGGAACCGAAATGGCAAGAATAAAGGTTTATTATATACATTTAGCACAGGGACCCACCACATGCATGCTACGAAAGATATATAGCTTGGACTGAGCTTACACATTTTTATTGAGAGGCAGCTATATTGGGAGTCAAGTATCTGACTGATTTGATTCGTGTTTAATTTTATAATGCAGGTACACTTTGATGACGTGTCGTTGTACGGCACTCCGAAAGAGGAGCCAATGCCCAACATACCGATTGTCTCGGAAAAAGTATCTGCGAATTTCCTAAAAAGTCAATTGCAATCATGGTTCCAACCGACGGACAATCGTCTGGCCATGAAATTATTTGGCAGCCGCAAAGCGTTGGTCAAAGAGCGCATACGTCAGAAAACTTCCGGGCACTGGGTGATACACCCGTGCAGTTCATTCAGGTGAGTGTGTGTGGGAAATGTCATTTTGATAATGTATATAACATATACCGAGTATTTTTGGTTTCAATTTGCAGGTTTTACTGGGACCTTTGCATGCTTTTATTATTAGTAGCAAATCTTATTATCCTGCCAGTCGCAATATCATTCTTCAACGATGATCTGAGCACACGATGGATTGCCTTCAACTGCCTAAGTGATACTATTTTTTTAATAGATATTGTAGTCAATTTTAGAACAGGTAATATGCAATGGAATTGTAATTGGTAAGCAATGTCGAGCCAAGGTTTCGCAGGCAATAATTTTCTTTTCACATATCTTCAAACAGATTATGCGCCTGTTTGAACTTTGCTTGATCGTTCGCATTTTATCGATGTGCTAACGCTTTGTGTATTTACAGGAATTATGCAACAAGACAACGCTGAACAAGTAATATTGGATCCAAAGCTTATAGCTAAACACTATTTAAGAACCTGGTTTTTTCTCGATTTAATTTCGTCGATACCGCTAGATTATATATTTTTAATTTTCAATCAAGTAAGTAATGTATTTAAGTGACAGTACCCAACATTTTGATTAAGATTATGAAATTGCAGGATTTCTCTGATTCTTTTCAAATATTGCATGCTGGACGCGCTCTGCGCATCCTGCGCCTAGCCAAGTTACTTTCTTTAGTTCGCCTGCTGCGACTCTCCCGCCTTGTGCGCTACGTTTCGCAATGGGAGGAGGTTTATGTAAGTACGCGGTCACATTTCTTATGTCTTTGTTTGCATCAAATATGTTTCCATTTTGTTCGAATTGAGCTTTAGTTTAACAATTTACTTATTTTTGATTAACTCTTGAAAATCGAAATGATTCTCTTCAGTTAGTTTGAATCAAATTTACGTTCTTATTTCCGTTTTTTCTGTATTATTTGTTGTTTTTTTTTTTGTCTCATTTTGCAAGAAACGTTTTATCGTAAGATACAATTTTAAAATCATGCTACATTCTACACAAAAAAATAGGAATAGGAGTTAGCATAGCTACGTGTTATCTTCGGCGTGCCGGCTTTAGAGCCCTCAGCACTTCAGTCAGCTAGAATTACAGCTACGATTAAAGTTAAAGAAAGAAAGTGCTTGCATTTCTTTGTGTATTTTGATAAGATACTGTTTTTGCATAAGTGTTAAAATTTCTCAATGCGTTGTCAATGGTACAAGGACTTACATTTATTTACAATATAAATGAAAAGCGCGCAAAGTGTTCAAACTATGTATTTTCAGTTCTTAACTGTAATATCAAACTCTTTGTGTCTTTAATTTCAATTTAAATATAAAAAACATTTACTTTATGTTGTGAATTTTGTTTACATACAGTTTTTGTATACATATGTTTGAATGTGTATATGTATTTCTATAAAGCCCAACTCTAAACTTTTAACAAAAACCGATTAAATCAAATCAACTCTGTAAAAAAAGAAAATGCTGGTAAAAATTTAATAATAATAAATATCCTGTGTAATTTTTTTTCAAGCGCTCCTTCTCATTAATACTCCTTGACACTTGCGCTCCGCATACATACATATGTATTCGTATAGTCTATTTTATATTTGAATGGCCCCGAAGTGATCAAGTTTTGCAAACACCCCACACACTCAACCTCAACTCGCGAGTCCACATTTCCATGCCGCGCTCGCTACGCTTACAACTTCGCTCTTTTGCGGGGAAGATTCTTTTGCTTATAGCATTTGTTTTTCTTTGATTTAGTCTTCTCTTTATTATTATTATTGTTATTTTTATTTTGTTATATTCCTGCTGACTTTTGAAGCACCCCAAATAACTTTTCATTGCACTTTTTACAAAATCTTTTCAAGATTTTCGTTTTTATATTTCAAACGCCAAACAATTGAAAATCAAAACATATTCGATTTAAACATTTTCAAGTGTTGAATATTGCCTTTTTCCCACAACACTTTTTCAATTCACCCAAGTACAGCAGAAACTTAAGTATAACATTAACTAACTTGAGAATTGTTTATTTATTTTGTTGATTTTATTTTTGTTAAAAACAACAAGTTTAAGCAAAAAAAAAAAAGATAAGTAGACACTAAAGTCTCTCACATACTTACCTACAAAAACTTCTTGCTTATACGAATCAAATTAAGAAAAAAAACAACATAGATTTGTATCAGGGCCTAAACTACCTGTGTATATATATATATGGTTTTAGATTCTGCAGAATCTACAGAAAAAAAGTGCTGATCGCAGAGGGAGAATGCACAGAAAAGACAAAGATGGCTTGACAAAAAGCAACTTAATTCTCAAGGTAACAACAAAACAAACAAAACATTTTTAAAAATAATTCAACAAAAAAAAAACAAAACACTATCTTAAAACAACAAATTCAATTTTTTGATCAACAAAAACAAAAAGCCTTGATTGACATTATTATTGACGTATTATTGGTACAACATAACTCACATTTGAGGAATGATTCAACCAAAAATTGAGTTTTAGTGCATATTTCGTTCGTTCGTTCGATTGTTCGTTCGTTGATATATACAAATATTTCGTTTTGGATCATGTTTGCTTGATTTTAATGTTCGTTCGTACGTTCTGTAAATTTTCTGAGATTGCCTTTTTATACATACATATTGATTAATTGAATGATTGACATACATATGTTCTTAATTTGACGCATCAAAATGCCTGAAATACAAAATTCAATTATTTACAAATACGAATTTAAAAATATACATATACTTTGTATAAATGAATTACAACAAAGCAAAAAAAAAAGGAATTTGCTATTTTGAATACTCGAAACAATGTTCAATAACCGCTCTAAATGCAAATCATTTGTTCCGGTGCAAAGTTCAAACTGTTTTTATGGTATTTACACTTTAGACTTAATTGGTGATTCCCCCACAGAAAGCTTAACAAGTATTTACATATCATTTAAAGATGAGGGTTCTTTACTGTCTGTTATTTCAACTTTCTCTTTCATATATAATTATATCATGTCAATTCCTAAGGCTTTTCGAGCTACCTCATAAAGTGTAGACAATTCTTATTGGGGGGTTTAATGTTCACTTTAAAAATATTTATTAGGCTTAGAGTTCTTAACCTGAATTTCAATTTCCATTTAAATTACAATTTAAGATATTTATGTTATCAGCTAAAGCCGATTGCTCGTTCTTATATAGGATTATTTGTTATGTTTTGAATAACTTCGGAAAATGTCAGTAAAAGTGGAAATAAACAGACGTACGTTTCAAATAATTCTGTTTACGATTTTCATTTGTTTTAAGTACGTACTATACATTTGTTTTAAATTTGTATGAGAGGGTTTTCAAATTAATACTTTTTACTATCAGTTTTAGGCGTAGTGTAGGATAAAACAGGCACGAATGTAGAACTAATGCATGGGCATGACTGCGTTTCAGTATTTATGAAACGAGTGATTTACATAAATATGTATACACATGTATGTATGTGTGTACATATTATGTACACATGTATATTGAGTATGTATAGTAAGTAGTTTTTCTCAGAGATAGTACGTGTGAATAGCATAAGAACAGTAACCACTAAGGAACAATCGTTGTTTCAGTGAATGTGAAAACCAACTGTAAAATTTAAAATTAAGGTGATTTTTTAGTGTTCACCTCTTCAATGCTTTTTGCTTATCACTCAACCAATCCAAAAAGAAATACATAAGTAATGTGCAGGCCAGTTAAAAGCATGTGTAAAAATAAACAACACACGTGTGTACTTGCGATAACGATAACGACACATCAGCAGCAATGTGAGAGCAGCAGCAGCAGCAGCAGCAACAACAACAACTGCTTTCAATGGCAAACATAACTGTTAAAGTTGCCGTTCTTACTGTTGCTGTTGCTGTTGCCAGCCAGTCCGTCTCCGTCTGAACGTTGCTTTTGCGTATGCTTTGGCAAAATGCTGCAGCACCCACACATACACACACACACACACACACAAACACACACACAGACACAGCCGCGAACACGCGCGTACATAGAGATGTGCAATTTTCGCATACATGTAGCTGTAATTGCTGATTACTGCGCTGATTGCATCACTCATCACGGGCAAAATAAGTTTGCTTTGCGGTAGTTGTTGGAGTTGTTTGGTCGGCATATCAAGAACAACAACACGAACACTGTACTATAAACGCAAACGTATTCTATAGCATACATTTTTGAGCCAATGCCACAAAATCGCTTCCTATTTGCTACTAATTACATAATACTACTATGTACTTACTCTCTACCTTGCTATTCTACTACACACAATTGATTGATAATTGATATTCAATGCTTTTGCTTTTGTTTGGCGCCGATTTCTGCTGCGCTTATTGCTCCTATTCTTCTACAAAGTGAACAACAACAGCAAAAACATCTAGTACTTATCAATCCTACAAACTACACAGTATGTACTACGACTCTGCTGATGTTGCTAACTTTGTACTTACTACGTATTTGTAATTTATAAATATGTTGTATTATCTATTTTTGTATTTTGTGTTTTGCGTTTTGCATTTCGTTTTGTTTGGTTTGGTTTAGTTTGGTTCTAAGTAATGCTTTGGTTCTGGTTTTCTTTTGTGCCTCTGTTGTAAAAAGATTTCAGCAACGCGTAATTCTCTCTCTCCTCTCTCTCTCTAATTTGTAAGTCTGTGTAATTTTAGGCCAAAAAAAAAACGCACCCGTTGCCGTTGCAACGGCACCTTAAAGGTCCTAGTACGACCAGTGCTATTATACATACTACATATACATTAATGTATATTGCAAAACTAGCGTATCTACTATTATATAACTCTATAAACACAATTACTCGAATGTACTTTCACACGAAGATACACACACGCGCATATAAAACTTGTACACTTCACTTGAGTAATACAGCAGCAGATACAAAAAAAAAAAGTTACTGTTACCTCATAAAACAAATCTGAATGCAAAATTTGATTTCTCTTCCTTAGGTTTTCTACTTCCCATAACTTATTTGTTTAACAATTTTTAACTAATTATTTTATTGTACAGATACCGTAGCACATAAATAAACAACAAAAAAATTGTTTAAAGAGCGAAGAAACGCTTCCATTGTAAAAAGAATTTCAATACCATGAGCGTTTAAATGGCTTAGTGTCATTAATACTACACGTATGAACTGAAAAAAGTAAAGATGAGCACTTGTACCATATAGCCGCTGACTTGCACCTATTCGAAAAGTAGAACTAATTTGATTGATTGCGATTACGCAGCTTGTACTTGCTGTACTCTCTGCATAGATTTATGTATAATTTTCTTCCTAACCAAACAATATAGAACATGTATGTATGATTGATTGATAGCGTTATTCCTTTCAAGATGCCACAATGCAAGCTGAAGTGCGTCTGCAGCAAATGCGTCTGGACGATTGGCCATGTGCGATATATGCCAAGATATCTGACATTAGACGGTAGTCAGTCAATTGCGACAAGTACAGTCCAACTCCTCCTAAAACAAACAAGCCGTAGTTTTTTAAAATGTTAAATGGGCTGTCATTCCGGAAAATGACATTTCCGTTCCGGAATTACACAGCTTTCGAAACATAGAATAAAATTAAAACTTAAATAATAAAATTAACTTCAGAATTCATGGATGTATGAAAATGTTGGTTCTACTGACTGGCCGGAAGAGACATTTTTGTTGTTGTTGGAATTAATTCCACAATCGGAAATGGAAACAGGCTAAGAATTCCGACTGTTTATTACTTTGCATGATTATCTGAATACGTTGAAAGCAGTCTTTGAAGCTATTGCTGGACTACAGCTGCTTTTCAGCTGAGTTGATAAAAAGCCAAGTTTTGTTTTTTGTATTAACTGGTAATTGTAGACACAAGATGTCTTGGTATATATATGTATGTATAAGTAGTAAAGCAGAGTGCCAACATCGTCCAGTAATCAAAATTCGATTTTATTTTATTTTACTCTTTTGTTGAAGTAGCCATGGTTTGGTTTTGTTGCTTTATTGGCATATTTGGCGCATTTATTGCAATTATTTATATGGTACTATCACGGCTCTTATACGCCTCTTCTACTCTACAACAACAAAAATAAAAACACAACGCGCAAAATTTTCAATTTCAATAGAGTTTGTTCATTTGGTTTTTGTTACTCGTTTAATTTAAGATGTTTAATTTGCCGTATTTTAAATGTGATATTCACGGTGTTACACACACACACACACACACACACATACACAGTGTACAAGAGCAAACATAACACACACATATATACACAACAAACATACACACACACACACACACGAACACACACAAGGTGTTGGCCTATATCATAAAATAATCGATGATGTGCACTCTTATTGATAAATCTGGTTACAGTTCCTCAATATGGCCTCGGTGTTCATGAGGATCTTCAATTTAATTTGCATGATGCTCTTAATCGGACACTGGAGCGGTTGTCTGCAGTTCTTAGTGCCAATGTTACAGGGTTTTCCATCAAATTCCTGGGTGTCCATCAACGAGTTACAGGTAACAAAATCAATGTTAAGTGGGAAAAAGCCTGGATAATACAATTAAATGTTTCAGATTGCCTTAATTTTTATAATTTACAATATAATCAATTTAATATTCAATAATTGATCAAATTCTAATGCATGTCTTATGTTTTAATTTTTAGGAGTCGTATTGGCTGGAGCAGTATTCGTGGGCGTTGTTCAAAGCTATGTCCCACATGCTGTGCATCGGCTATGGCAGGTACATATACTTACAAATATATATATAGACAATATAAAAATTTTTACTCAGAGAAAAAGATGGCACGAATTTCCTCGGAAATTTAGAAAATTTCTTCAAAGGCAAGTAAGCCTACGATTCTGTCAAAAAAAGGAAGTGTTTTTTTATATAATATTGAGTTTAACTTAAAACTTAGTCGTTGGTTTGGCTCATGCCCCAAGCTATTGTTTAAAACAAAAGTAAGCCCATGCCGTTTTAGCACACATTTTGTTGATTCAGGCCGCAAGTTTTGTACCCTGTTCTGTAAGGTAAAAGCCTACATACTTGTATAACCTTAAGCTTATTTTTTCAAAGCAATATAGTAGGTTTTCAACGCTGGGTTTCCCCCTTACAGATTTCCGCCGCAATCATTGACGGACATGTGGCTAACGATGTTATCAATGATATCGGGCGCCACGTGCTATGCATTGTTCCTTGGTCATGCGACCAATTTAATACAGAGTTTGGACTCCAGTAGGCGGCAGTATCGCGAGAAGGTCAAGCAGGTGGAGGAGTACATGGCCTATCGTAAGTTGCCGCGTGATATGCGACAACGCATTACGGAATACTTCGAGCATCGGTACCAGGGCAAGTTCTTCGATGAAGAGCTGATCCTGGGCGAGTTGAGCGAGAAACTGCGCGAGGATGTCATCAACTATAATTGCAGGTAGGCCATTGATGGTTATATCTAAAATATATTTCATTCCGAAACAAGCAGAGTAGATCGCATATAGTACATTTACTCATTCAATAAATCAATATTCCACAGATCCCTCGTGGCTTCAGTGCCTTTTTTTGCTAATGCCGATTCGAATTTCGTTTCCGACGTAGTAACCAAACTGAAATACGAAGTTTTCCAACCAGGCAAGCGAACAGCTAGACAACATGCATAAGAAAATGAATAACTACATTACTTGTTTTTCACACACTTAGGTGATATTATCATAAAAGAGGGTACGATCGGTACAAAAATGTACTTCATACAGGAGGGTGTTGTGGACATTGTCATGGCCAACGGCGAGGTGAGTTATAAAAAAGGAGGGTCTTATAATTAAGCTGTCCTTTGCTAAAAAAAATGTAACGAGCTACAAAAGTGTAATATCAAAATAACGTTTTTAAACCAAACGAAAATGGTACAAATTCATCGCAGTGTACTAAAAAAAGAAGACATGACTGGCTTTAGAATTTAGATCAATTCATATAGAGGCATACTTATATACGTATGTATAGCTAACTCTGCGTACTATATATACCCAGCAATGTCAACATATGGAAGGTGTGGGTTTTGCACAAAGAAGAACCACGTGTACTTGATAAACATTGACAGACATTGATGAATCAGTCTTACTGTCTCACAGGATGATCCCGTGAATATCGGACATACAGGGCTTATTATTGTTACATTTTAAGATAAAATGGCTCAGAGGTTTTTTTTTATTTCTACAATATGACTGATTGTAATTTATTTGCAGGTTGCGACCTCACTATCGGACGGTTCTTACTTCGGTGAGATCTGTCTGCTGACCAATGCGCGTCGTGTGGCAAGTGTGCGGGCCGAAACCTATTGCAATCTATTCTCTTTGAGCGTGGATCATTTTAATTGCGTTCTGGACCAGTATCCACTTATGCGAAAGACTATGGAAACTGTGGCCGCAGAGCGCTTGAATAAGATCGGCAAAAATCCAAATATAATGCAACAGAAGGATGAGCAACTGAGCAATCCAGAATCGAACACAATTACTGCGGTGGTGAATGCATTAGCCGCCGAAGCCGACGACTGTAAAGATGAGTGAGTAAATTGGCAAAATGAGCATTTCTTTATTTTATTATGCGATCATCACAATTTGCAGTGACATGGATCTCAAAGAGAATTTACTGCATGGTTCGGAGTCGAGCATCACTGAGCCGGTTCAAACGATACGCGAAGGTTTGCCTAGACCGAGGAGCGGAGAGTTTCGTGCCCTTTTTGAGGGCAATACTCCATGACCCTGAGGCATCATGAAATGCGAACATCGAGCAACCATTTGAATGCTCAATGACATTGCACGTAAATTAAATAGTGACACATTTACACTCACACACATAACATAACACTCATTCTGGTAGAGACACTGACACAAGCCTACATATATATACTTGTAATAATTAGAGATAAACCAAACGCGATAAAGATAACACTTTAAAAAACAAAAGAAGAATCAATTTATGGTAGACACTCTAAATATGCAATTGCGATTTAGTAGAAACGTATTAAAAGATGAAAACACACACAAAAATTGTCCTCAATAATTATTCATAATTTCAGCTCCGCTAACTGTGATGACTTTAATATAAGAATCGAAAAAAAATTTTGAAAAAACAAAACGAGTTTATAACTTAAATGATAACATTCAGCAAAAACCAGTCAAAGCAAACCACAAAAGTGCAGTAAAAGCGCAACTACGTGAAACCACACAGCCATAAGCAGAAGGGAACTCTAAATCAGACAGATCAGACAAAGAAAAATTACCACTACTTACCACATATACCCACAATCCCACACAAACAGATAGCAAAAATGAAAAAGTATATAGAAAAATCTATATGTAAGTTTTATGCCCACGATATTGTAACAAAAACGAAGTGAATAGACTTTTGAATTGCTACATACTTACATAGGTGTTAGTCCTATGGACCTACTTCTACGAAACTCACAACCGCATCCCACACCCATTCACAAACACATGCAGATAGCATTACAGATAGCAGAAAAGCGTGATATACTAAACACTTGTATTTGTAGCTAAAAATCATTTAGATGAAAAATTATAAAAAGTAAAAAAAAGAAGTACTAACAAAATATAATCAACGCTCTTCTCATGCATAAACAACACATATACATACATAGGTCAATTTTCGTTTCCGCTTTCGAGCAAATTTGTCGAAATCAATTTTGCTTTAAGCAATTATTTCCTTACAAATTTTGCTTCGCAAGTATGTCATCAATATAATTTTAATTAAAATCAATAAAATGTCTTTGGAAAATATATATGCATCTATTTCCTATTTCCGAATTCGATAAAGTTATGTGAAATCGAAATTGCGGTCAGTTCCGAAAAACCATCTAAACATTTAGTTTTAATAGTTTCTTGTTGAACGAATTATTGTTATTATTATTGTTCTAGTGTTAAACTAAGTGGTTATTGGCTTAAGCCAATATCTTATTCCTTCTTTAATAATGGATACATTTTGTGATTCCGCACAAGTCAATCGAATTCGGAAACAGCAAGAGGCTTCAAGTTTTATACAGCAACAAACTTCTTTAGGATCAAAATCTACTTGAAAATTACACAATTTTTGTTTCCAATGTGTAACAATTGTTTTCGCATTAATTGCAATACCATTGTAAACAGGAATATTCGAACGAACATTCAAACTGCAATTAAGCTCGATAAGCTTACAAAATCGATTGTAATCGATTGCGACAAATTTAACGGTTTTAGAAACAGGAACAGGCCGGATAGTGATACACACACATATACACACCCACACCCATACACATACATAAACTTATGATATATAGGTATTTAAAACCAAACGTTATGCATACCAAAACATATTTATGCGCGTAGCTATTATGTACTCGAGCAAATCAACAAACAACAATTATGTATTATTGCGATTATATAGCATATTTAAAAACGCATTGCAAAATAAAAACGAACCCCAGAAATATTCACATGAAAAAATAACACATTTAAGAAAATGGCAAAAATAAATTTAACAAAATGCGCATTAGTAGTTGAGCTATTAGTTTTTCACTCACAATTATACAAACAAGAAGTACCCACAATGTAGTAGAGCAGCCTCGTAAAACCTCAGGGTGTGCCGTCGTTTCAACGGTCACCAAAAAAAAATAAATAAAAAGCAGATACATAATTACATACATTAGCATTGACTATATACACAACATACTTATATACAAAGAAACAAACAACAAAACAAACATACTTGCATAGATAATGTTGTCTTTTATAGGGAACTGTTATAATATATTTACTCAGTTTAAACAAAATTATAGGAAAAGTATAATTTGAATTTGTTTTCAATATCAGTTGAATAATATTTTGCGTTTCGTTTTGATTTGTGTTTTAGTTAAATACTATAAATCAAACGGAAAAAAACTTATTTCAAGAATTATGTAACTTAGTATTTTATTACACGTAAACTAATAAAATGAAAACCAGAAGGACAGCGTTTGCCTTAAAAATAATCCAAAATGTAGTTTCATTTCTAGTACATTTAAACAGAAATTAAGCATAATTAACTCGATTTTACTGCAACAAATTGGGGCTAACAAATGAAATTGATACTTTTTAGTCATTTCATGTAGACTGATTACTCATAATATATAACAAAAACAAAACAGAATGGATTTGTATGAGGGCTCAGGGAGAACAACGGCGTCGCGCATATCTAGATTCGATAAAATCCGCGTTCACATTCTTCCTAACTTCCTCTAAGTTCGAGTCAACGAGAACCAAGTATAGAGTATTAACGTCCTGTGTATTATCTATTTTCTCAATTTTTCCATATAGATGTCGATAGCTGACAAGCAGAGTGAAATATTTTGTGGCTGCTAGAGACCACACAGTTCCCTGCCAAGGCGCGATCCAAGCCATGCGAGCACGTACAAATAGACCCGGTAAAATGGCGTAATCATTTTTCAGATACATTATCTGCGTGTGAGGTACAGCTAAAGCTTCGCCCGTGTCAACAAGTTTCACCTGTAACAAATATACATATATGTAAAACTGATTGGTATATATATTTGACTAGCACGTATATTAACCTTAACTTCATTTCCACTGCCAAGCTGGAATTTGATGATTTCTGCACGCTCCCAGGCACCAACATGTGAGCGAACAACGCACAAATGACCAGGCATTATAAGGGATGTCGGCATTTGATACTTAGAATCCTCACTGTTGTAGAATTGCCTGCAATTTTGGTGTTAGTCTCGTTAATAATAGCAATTTTTGTTTGAGCTTACTGCATGCTGTTCCACATGGCCTTATGTTCCTCGAATTGTTTGTCCTTTATCCAAATGTTGAAGCAATACGGTGATTCTACCTATCGAAAGCAGTTCATTATTATTTAATAGCCAATTTTGGAGTGTAAATTCGTACCATAACCACTTGCACAACGATGCGATCCTGCTCGTTTAGTTCAGCAATATCACGTTGGGGTAGCTTTACATTTAAACGAACAGCACTTTGCGGATAATCAACGTCAAAGATTCGCTGGTCCTTTAATTGATATTTTGAGTTAATAGATAAATATGGATATTATAGTACAAGCTATTACGCACTAAAGCATATGCTGGTACAGCCTCCTCCCCATCATTATCTGAATCATCGCGGGAATTACTATAAATATGGGTTGCGGATGTGGGCGGTTGATTTTCAAACTCTTTGACATTTTCTTTAGTTTCAGCTTTTGAATGGTTTATTTCCGGCTGTGTGTCCTCAGTATCTTCATCAGATATCCAGATACCAGGTTTGTCTTCGTCTTCTTCTGGCAATGATTGCTTGACACTATTTATCGACATTTTATTTAAAGATGCTGTTATGATGTTCGTCTCCTGTTCCACTGGCCTTTTATATTGGACATTGTTGTTGTTTTTGGGAAAATTAAGTGTCTGAGTGGGTGGTTGAGGAAACTGTGGATTTGGCCGATTGGTAAAGGTCGGCCTATTGTTGCTCAGATAATAATTTCTGTAGTTAGGGCGTGCGTTTACAAAAGCAATGTTCGAGCGTTGGAAGGAATAGCTAAGTGAGGACTTTCCTCGACCCTTTGTCCTTAAACTAGGTTTTTTTTGTGCCTGAACCAAAGTTTCAATGTGAGCGGTTTTTTGATTGCTTACTGGGAAAACGATGGCTCTAAGCCCGGTGCCGGAAACCTTAAAACAAAAGTTAAAGTGTATCTAAATACATTTGCATTTCACTTACATAAACTATATCTGGTAGCGAACGCAAGAAATGTTCCAAGCTTTTGTATCCCAGAGAAGCATACGGTACGGGGCGGCCTTCAATATTGATGTACTCTTGCATCAATTTCTCAATTGTAACTTTATTTGGCGATGAAACCAGCAATGAGTGAATCACTTGCTTGGTGTTAGTCAACAATCCTTGACTATATTGGCCTTCCATTGATATTAGTATTAACTAAGAACAATCAAGAAAGCCAAACCTCGTGCAAGACCAAGATATAAGAACTTCGCGCGTCCCTTATCAAATACCGCAATGTCGGCTTATTATACGGGTGCTGCCATACAGCAGAAACTATTAGAAGCTTTTAGTTCAATCGCCTTAAATGCAGATTTCACTTTGTAATCCATATAGCTATTCCTCCAACCCTTACCCGGTCCTCGAGCTTAAAAATAAACAACAAATTTGTGTCATAAAGCAACAATGTGTGGACATTTTTTAAATTTTATAGTCAGTTATAGTAGCATCAATTGAAACAGCTAGCAAATCAGCTGTTTTGCCATGCTGCCATATAGGCGTCTTCATGCCGAAAGGTGGCAACATTGATTGTTCGAATTTCGAAGCTCGTTAAGTTGGCTGCGGTGTGGTGCGTGAACCAGCTCTTTCTTTTTACTTCCCTTTGGTTCCAAACAAGCAGCAAAATGTCGAAGAGAGGTAAAATTGCATTTAATTAATCCAAATAAATCGCACAAAATATATAGAATCAGTAAAAAATGTTTACGTAACACGGAACAAAAAGATACAGCCATGGCATTCAACTAACTATTTGCTTTTATTTTTGCTTAGGACGTGGTGGTACCGCGGGAGGAAAATTCCGCATCTCATTGGGTTTGCCCGTTGGCGCTGTTATGAATTGCGCCGATAACACAGGTGAGAATACATGAATTAATTATATTTAAAGTGGAATATGGACATTATAATTCAAACGTTCATTTTAGGTGCCAAAAACTTGTATGTCATTGCTGTCCATGGCATTCGCGGTCGCCTGAACCGTCTGCCAGCTGCTGGCGTTGGTGACATGTTCGTGGCCACAGTTAAGAAGGGCAAGCCAGAGTTGAGAAAGAAGGTGAGTTTGTATTTAAGATAAGCAAAGTTTTTTCGACAATTACAACTACAACAACTCAACGTGGCTCACAACAAAACCAAAAAGTAAATTGCATCAAAACAGATTACTGTTGTGTTTGTGTCAAATTAATTACTTATTTTATTTTTTTTTTGCTTTGCTAATTCTCATGTGTTTTTTTTAGGTTATGCCTGCTGTAGTAATTCGGCAGCGCAAGCCGTTCAGAAGGAGGGATGGCGTTTTTATATACTTTGAGGACAATGCCGGGGTCATTGTGAACAATAAAGGAGAAATGAAGGGCTCGGCCATAACCGGGCCCGTTGCTAAGGAATGCGCTGATCTGTGGCCCCGTATCGCATCGAATGCAAGCTCTATTGCCTAAGCAGTTTCCCTTTCAATAAAACAAACAACGGAACACAAGATGTTTAAATAAGAAGTATTGGAATTTTTATTGAATTTCCACAATGGATGAGTTTTTAGTCGTTGCCTGTTGGCTGCAGGTCATTCACGGTTTGGGCGCTTCGGTGCGTAATGTTGGCTTTGGTCGCGTCACCTCCATCGATATTTTGCCATTGGCGCCCTTGAAGAGTGCATAGCAAACTTGGAATGTGCAGCCCTCCAATGAATCACCATTGAATTTTGTAATGATGTCGCCGCGTTGCAGCTTGTTATCGATTTCTGGATATTGCCCTTGTATCTGCGAAATGATACAAAAAGTGTATAATATAACAGCACCATTGCTTTGCGACGACAACATACTATGTCCGATATGGTGCAGCCCCGTTCGTTTGGTGACAGCGAGAGGCCGAGTTCTTTGCCAGCCTTCTTCATGAAGTCCACATTGAATTTCTCCAGTTCTGGTGGATCCGCCCGGAATACCGTGAAGGTAACTGTTTTCTCATATGTTCTGTGGAACAGTTGGTGAACCTTGAGCGTGGTCATACTCTCGCAATGCACCTGAGCACCGTTCACATCGCATATGTGATCAAAGATTTTAAGGCGATTGTCCGCGGCCAACGCACCTTCCGGATATATGTGTGTGATGACACAACCAGTCTACAGAGCGAGTAATGGCATAATTATATTAATTGAGTTAGGAGAATTGGTAGTAATTGTGAATAGTTGTTTTTTTTTTTTTAACTATACTGGTATGGCTTCTAATTTCTCTTCAAACAGTCATTAGCAATTAATATAAGTATTGTATTACTTTGAACTTTTAATTTGCCTACCAAGTAGTTTATTATTACGATGAGATTATTTATGTCTATTGTATGATCATAACGTAAAATAGTACCTTCACATGGTTGTTCTTGCCACCTGTCACTATGACTCCTAGTGGTTTTTTCTCGACTTTCACTTCGATGAGAATCTTCTTGTTGGGCTTGATTTCCGCTACAGATGGTTCTTGCGGTTTTTCTTCCTCTTTTTTCGCTTCTATAAGTTGGAATTGAGAACTGCATTGCCAATCTACAATTATGGAGCGGCTCCTTACCCTCTTTCTTCTTTTCCTCCGCCTCACGTTCGGCGCGAATCGACTCTTCACTCTTGAGTGTGAGCAGTATCATGGTCACAATGCCCTCTGCGCGTTTAATTAGTGCCACTGCCTGGTTGTTTTAAATCTTGTTATATTTTTGTCATTATTTTTAACAATATCTGTCTTACTTCATCGTAGTTAGACTCGAGCGTTACGTCTTGATTCACCGCCAGCAGCATGTCACCAACTTTAACGCCCGCCTACATAAGAAAATATTTCTGACGCCTGACCTCAACTGATCGAGCAACTTACCGCCTCTGCGTTGGAGCCCTCGCGCAAATCCGACACGAAGATGCCATTGCCGACCTTGACGTGCTTGCCATAGATGACCATTATGCCTAGGAAGCCTTCCCTCCGCACCTGGACTGTGCGCGCTTTCGGGAACTGATCGAAGATAAATTTGGTCTGCGAGAAAAACTGTTAGAAGGATTTTCCTTATTGGAGCGCAACTGTCTACTTGCCTCATCTGATGCTATTGGAAACTTCTTAAGCGGCTTAACGCACATACCCTCATCGTTTGGCTTGCGTCTCGAAGTAATCATCACCAACTTCTCGCCATCGACGTTTTTAAAAATGGCAGATGCATTCAAATGGCAGCGATTCTTCAATACATTGCCATTCACCTCCACAATCTCATCGCCCGGTTTCAAGTCCACACTGGCCAGAATACCATTCGGATCAACTCCCGCCACAAAGCAGGCCATCTTCTGCCTGTCCTTGTGACCGGCGAGCGCAATGCCCAGCGGTTTGTTAGCCGGTCGTTGAACTTCAATACGCCGCAGATCTTTCATCATATTATAGCGCTTATTGATCTTAGCTGCAAAGAAAATATTTCTGCTTAGAAGAAATCATTCAGTTATAGTAACTTTGAGAAAGCGAGGAGTTTACAGATATCCTCTTTTAAGAATTATCTATGCATTTTCATTTATAAAGTTTAATTTTTATTCTTTCGCTCACAATTTAATGATTAATTTTGAGTTTTACTTTAAAAATTAACCAATAATCATTAATGATGAGCAAAAAATTAAAATAAAAAAAAAAAGATTCAATATTTTGTAATTTTTTAATAACACTTATAATGATTACAGTGCCTGATTCTAAGCGTCGATAAGTGCAGACTTTGTGAATTTAAAAAGTTGTTAAGTATGAGATTATCTTGATATGACATGATATGTAGATTACACTGTAGATTGGTTCCAGAAAAAGTCGTGTTAAAAAAAACCGTGCAATAAAAAAGACATTGATCATATCCACAAATAGGCGGTTGGTTCCTTATCTCTAAAACCTATTAAAATCACTGAAAAAACAAGGATTTATGTTTATTTTATTAAACCCATATAAGAATGGTTTCTAGATGTTCGTCAGCTGTGGGTGTTTTTTTAAATTTATTTTGTGTTATTTTGAATAGTGTTAAATGGAATGAAGTCGTGTAAACATATATAACATTTTTAATTTTCAAACCGTGTAAAAACAGAATTAGGTGCACAACTACATGGTAGATTGGTTCCAGAAAAAGTCGTGTAAAAGAAATTGATCATATGGTATTTGAATCGTGCTAAATGGAATAAAGTCGTGCAACCATGTATACAATTTTTAATTTTCGAACCGTGTTAAATCAAAACCGTGTAAAAACAGAATTAGGTGTATTTAAAGTTTTAAAAAGCAAATATTCGATTTCCATTTTGGGACTTCTGTAACGGATGGCCCTATTGTGTGGGTAAAGCGTATCTAATAGTTCGGACTAAGTGAAAGGGTAGAGTCAAGCGCGGACGCCTTTTCAAACACACTTAGTATTTTTCTTTGATTTTCTTGAATTGAAGTATTTTGGATTTAAGTCTTTTACTCACCCATAGTGTAGCCAAACTCATCCTCTTGCTCCTTATCACGTTCCTTCTCCTGTTTATTGAGCTTGCAATTGCCAGCCGAGGCGCGATCGATCTGAAAAACACGGTAGCTATTAATTCCATTATTGGGTGTCACACTCCTCTCAATGTTCCACCTCATTGCCCGCCTCGGTGCGTATGCGTCCTGTCATATCCCGTGTATCCTCATCGTCGTCGTCGGCATAGTTAGACTGCGCTTGCTTGGTTCGGATCGAAGCCGAGAATGTGGTGTTCCGTTTGGGATCGCGGTTCATCGTTGGCTGCCGCGCCATGCCCGTATTGTTCGGTGTTTGTTCTAGAATTCAAAAAAGCTACATGGAGATTGCTAAATTTTCGAATATAGAAATTAACCTTGCCTTGATTGAACTTATTCTTGGCCTGCATATAGCCATTACTACGCGCATCGTTTTTATTCTGCTCCTCGGGCTTATCAAATGTTTGTATTTCCAAATTAATTTTAAAGTCCGCCTCCTTGATGAGATCAATGACGGCCTGTTCGGTAGAGTGTCGCACATCCTTGCCATTTAGAGAGAGTATGCGATCGCCAACCTGTAAGATGATTTATTTAAATACATACGCAGGTATGTACAAGTATTTGGGATGCTACCCACTTTAAGTTTGCCACAGAGATGTGCGGGACTATCTGGTACGATGCCCTTTATGAATATGCCGGTGGTTTTCGTATTCGGAGAGTCCTTGACCTCGCCACGTACAATACATATGCCAAAGGATTTCTTGCCCGTCTTATCCAATGTCACCATGTGAATATTTTCTGTTCAGCCCCATATAGAATGTACGACACACATAAAAAATTAGCGAGAAGGGTGTATGAGGGTGTATGGGTTTTATGCAGGCATATACGGGTATGCAACGTACGATTATAAAACACTGTCTTGGGGTGAGTATTATTTTAAAAGACAGCTACTAAGTTTGCTGTAATTCTTACAAAATGAAATGTTGTTACCAATATGCACTCGTAATAAACTTTTTAAAATCAATATTGGCAACTAAGACTGCAGTTTTCTTTCCTCAAAAGCATTCCGTAATTATTTATGGCTTGTCTTCCATTTCCTATCGGATTATTCATATTTGAGCTTGATTTTTCTAGCTTTTCAAAAACTTGGTTGAATCAATTGGAAAAGTACTCAAAAGAAAGTGAGGCTTTTGCACAATTGCAATATATTCTAATTTATGAAGGGTAGACATATTTATTATTATTAATTTTTATGCATTCGTATTGTTTGTTTTTATTGACTTTTTTTGCAATACCCACTTGGAAATATCGGGGATAAGACACATTTCTTTTCAAAGAAATGCTAATGCAACGCTATATTTTCCTTAAAATAAATTTATATAATTTATAAAAAATTGGAAATTGTATAAATATTGTAATCAAACTGCGATATTTATAATTAAAATTTTTCCAATATCTTCTTCAATCGAATAGGACGAAACATTTAAGGGAGCTCTTGTCATATGCTGGGAACAATTTAATGCTGCCATTTAGGCTAACAACGTTGGGGGTATATTAACGTAGTCAATAAAAGTACTAACGAATGTCGGAATTTAAGTAAAAAATAGTTTTTGATTACAGGGAGCATCTGCATCTACGGTTAAGTAGAGCACTTCTAGACATATCCTTTAGATTAAGTAAATCCCTAACTTAAGAAAAGACTACTTTTGTTTCATTTGAAATGCTTTAAAAATCTGATAGTTTCATATTTTTTATTGATTCCCCATATAGTTACAAATTTCGTATTATTATTATTTTTTTTTTTAATTATTTGAGAGCATCTTATGTTTTAAAATATCCTTGTCCCTTTTATGGCGATTATTAACAAATATGATTCGCGCACAATCGATTTGCGATGCTTAAAAATGATTAAACGTTTACTAACCACTATTGCCTTGGCCATAAAATTGAACCATTTTTATTATTATTTTTCTCTTTGCCGGATTAAGCACTTAATTCATGTACTAAGCTTTGAGCTTTGAAACTAGATTCGTATTAATTTTTCTTTACGTTTAAATTTTCCGTGTTGTCAGCGCTCGTTTCGAGCGCATTGAAAATCGCGCCTAAACTGATTTTACAATTAGTTGGCGAACATACCTACTAACTGACTTAGTGGGCATTCTATTTTGAGTTTGATTTTTGTATCGATTACACTGCATAACATAATGTGCATTGTATTATGTGGATAGTATGGAACCAGAGCCTCAAACAGTCGATTTTCAATTGGACGCATCTAATAAATGAAAAATCAAATGAGAACCAGAGGATGCCAAGACTTTTTCCATTTGTTTTATATCGCATCTTAAAAACTATTTTATTTTTATAATTTATTTGTGATGGCACTCTTGTATGACAATTTTTCTAATTTACTGGTGTATACAAAGTTGCCAGTTTTCATTTTTAAGCACTTGAGAGTAGTCAGTATAATGCAAATCGTGTAGAAGGGTATAATATAAGAAGGCGGAGCATACCTCATAAGGTATATATTCTCAATAATATACTGCTGTTTTTTTTTAATAAGAGAAAACCTCGGATGAACAGTGTTATCGATCGGTCTGTTGCAGTGCTGTATTCTACAATTCTACACTTAATTGCATTGAGTAACTTTCGCTGGCCGCTGTAACATGTCACAGTCGTGCGACACATATTTTGACGCCGTAGACACTCACACAGACAGACACCTTGGGTCTACAAAACAGATATATGTGTAATTACATACATATGTATGTATATATATCGCACTTCGCACCATATTTGAGAATCAGACGGTGTCTAGCCGGCACTTAGCTTACTTGTGGGCATGTAAGCTTGTATGCAAATGCGTGCTTTTATTGCCAATAAGTATTATTAATTTGCTTGTGCGATTTGCATAGCAAAACTCAACACTCCGTAAATCGAAGCCACCAAAGTGCTGGCAAAATGCCAATCGATTTTGGCTGTTTTCTTTTCACACAACATACATACATATATGTACGTACATATGTGTATATGAATCGGTACTATATAAGTATGTATTCACCTATGTATATATATTTTCCAGTTGCGAATATTTAAACTGTAAAAAGAAGTGGAAACATGAGCATGTATATTATGTAAAATGTTTATTTGCACATTTTTATTAAACATTGGCTGGGAAAAGTTCTTTAAGGCGACTTTCGATAAAACTGAGTTTTGTTGTAAATTCTTACCAACAAATTTTAATTGCCGACTACTTAAATTAAATTAAATGAAAAAGAATGATTAGCATTTTTATTTGTTTGCGTGCACTCTTCAAACAAACGCAAACATTCTTTTTAGAAAATGTTAATACTAGCAGGGTGACCAACGTTTTTAAATGCCTAGGTTTAGAAAAATGTAATTTAAAAATGTAAAATAATAAAAATAAATCATAATTAATAAGTATACTATATGTAACAAGTTACGTATGCTTTATTTTTTAGCGAATCTTTGATTTACATACGAATTGGGTTGAAGGATGAATGTTAAAATTTGTATTTTTCTAAAAGCTCACAAACACTGCCTTTTCATCCAGAAGAGCAACAGAAATCTATATTGGGAATGAAAAATTAACTAACGGTGTTTGAGCTCTAACAGAGATTGAACTAAGGCAGAATTTAAAACAAAATCCCTCTTCAATAATTTGATAGAAATGGTTAGATTTGTTCATTTGGAAATAATTAAATTGCATCACTGAAAAATGATAATTTTTAAGGTCCTTTATTATTATTCAGAAAATTATGGTAGTTGTTAAAAATATTCTTTCTTTTTATGATTTGCGTACAGAGTTTTGTAAAAAACGTTTCTTTTGATTAAAAAAAATATATACATATGTATATGTAAAATTAAATACTTGTTGGTTAATAGCTCTGTACTAATTGTGTCTGTAATTCCTGCTACAATATTTATTATATTAATTATTTTTAAATGGTTTTGCTTAAGATTAATTTTTTAAAAATGTGTAACAAAACATACTACTCTTAAATATATTATAGATCTAAAAACAATCACCCTGATACGCACATATGTATGTATGAATAGATGCACGTACGTATGTCATATGTATGTATGTAAATGCATACTAATATCGCAAGAAGAGAAAACATATACATTCGTACATATTTACATACAAACATACATACATATACAAATGCGCCAAGAGGGAGAATTAAGGGTACGTCATTTTGAAGCGACGTCAACGACAGCGAAACGATGTTGGAAATTAATTTCATAATAAAAAAGCGTAAGGAAACCCATTTGATAAAACAATTTCCTTTTTGCCTCCCAACAGTCATGTTTTGTTAGTAAAGTAAATTCAAAAAGAAAAACCAAAGGGAAAAGCAAAAATATGGCAATGAGCTTAACTTTGCCAGAAAAACACACACATTCGCACGCATTGCAGAGACGCTGCTGTCGACGCTGCAGCGCTGCTCGTTCGCAGCGACATAGAAGAAGAGCAATCATTGTTGGCAAGCGTTGTGCTGTGATTGGCTGTCTTGCTCTCTCGGCACGCCCACCACAATGGCCGCTGTCAGCTGCTTGCGTGCGTGCATGTGTGCTGTCCTGTTTGCTGCGCAGCATCTCGTTCTCTTCTGATGCTGTCGACACCATCCACCTTTTCGACACAAACTCGCACACACACACAAAAACACACCTAGCGCTTTATGTTGTTGCTGTTGGTGGAAGACTGGAGGGGTGTTGCATTGCTACCTTGCTATGCCTTTTGCCTTCCTGACGTCGGCGTCGCTGGCGTCGCTGATGGCGCATGGTTGTTGCGACGATTTAGTTAACTGAAGTGATTTTGCACTGTTTGCTGTTACACACATACTGCCACACAAAGAGACCAACACACCTACACTGACAAGTATGTACGCTCTTATGTAAGTGGCTACACGTGTATGTATGTGTGAATTCGTTGTTGACTTGTTCTCGTGTTGTACTTACATGCAGTTATATCAAATTGCTAATAATCGTTTAGCAGGCACTTCTGACTGGCTTCATGGAAATGAATAAAAATTACAGTTTTTGCGCAAAAACACTTCAGCATGGAAATAATATAGGATTTTGACGTTCAATTGCGTTGCGAACAAATATGCTTCAATGAGCAAGGCATAAAGGTAATAATTTGTTACCAACGTATCCGTTCCGCAACAATTTTAGATATGTTATATTGTGAGGACAGAGTGTTATTTAAACTAATGTGATATTGTACAAGATCATTTAGATATCACCAACAAATGGTTAAGATTCAGTTCGTCATTTAATTTACTTTTCTAAATATTGCAGATATTAGCTGCCTATAAAGATGACTTAGTCTTCAAAAGATTGTTTAATATCACTGACTCAAAATGAACGGTTTTACTGACCGATATTATTGGAATAGGTTCTTTTAGTACTTTGGTTTAGCAATCCATTATATATATACAAGTTTATTATATATTGCAGAATGACTTAGGAAACTCAGAACGACAATTAGATTAGCGTTATTCATATGCCACCCATCGATAAATAATAATGATATTCACTGTAACTGAACGCATATACAAGTAGTATGAAGCACATAACTGGTCCAATCAACTTCATAATATGAATTAATTAGTACTACCTTAAGCAGTAGCTGATTTAATCATATAAACGTATACATATAATCTAATAGTTACAGTTAAGAGAAGTCACATCAAAAACCAGTAACTTTTTGAATAGTACTTAAAAAAAAGTAGACAGGCATTATGTAAAAGGTTTATACATTTGTTAAGAAACTAATTAAAATATCGTGTCTTTCTATTGAAAGTAATACTTTTGTTAAAGCGACTTAAACTCCTGTTTAATATAGTATATTAGTATATATATTATATTAGTACAAGTAGAAGCAAAAGTGCAAAATAATATGATTTATGTGATGTTAAATACAGAAAAATCATTGAGCGTTTTCATCTCTTAAATAGAATATCCAAATGTCCTTCGCATTATAATCTTTAATTCATAACAAGAGCTTAATGTTTTTCAACTTCGTGCAAAATAAAAACAAAAACAAAAACGAAGCAACTGCATATTCTCACGACATTTAAGGACACACACAAACAATTACGCGTACATGTGTACAGGCTTCACTAAGTGACGCAGGGAATGTGCCCTATGGCTTGGATTATAGATATTTACGTTTACTACGGATATACATAATGTCATCATAACTTTTACGAGTGTACGTGGACGTGATAGAGCAAATAATGGTGCCCACATGAGGAGTATTGGTGTTGTGCCCGGGGTCAGCCAGCCAGCCAGCCAGCCAGCCAGCCACCCACATGGACTGGACGTGTATTTGTATTTGTGTATATCCTGCAAACATAATCGCAACTGCATACATATAGGGAGCATTTTTCGGTCAATTATACGAGTATGCTGGAACTGGATTTGTGTGCTGTCAACATTAAAACTCAATTTAAATGACAACGCATAAACAAATAATTGTCCTTTTGCGTACAGAGCAGTAGCAGAAGCGGCAGCGGCAACAACAACAATAGCAGCAACAAGAGGAAATGCTCGCTACTGTGATGTCCTTAGCCCGCTTAAGTACGCCTCAAAGTTCACTCGCACGGTAGTAAGTTATTCAAATATTGAGTTTTTAACTCTGCTGCCAACAAGCAGCAAGCAACAACCACCACCATTACCATCTTCATAGCCAACAATACTGTCATCAGGATCGCCCTGCCACCCGCCATTTGCTGCCGAGTTGCGAGTGGGAAAGTGCGTTCTGACAGCATGTGCAGGGGTCGCAGGACTCGCAGGACTTGCTGGGTCGCAGCTGAGTCGCTCACTTTCAAGTGTTCTGCTGCCGAAAAGCAAATTTCATTTGGATTTCGCTTTCCTGCCCAGCAACTGGGCGATTCATTTCGAGTCGACGTCGCATCCCTTTGTTTGAGTTTCTACTCCTAAATATATTTGATTTGTTTACCATGCCCTGAAGCTGAAATCTTAAGCCGCATGTAAATGCGTTAAATTAAATTTCAAACGCTTGTACTTTTCA